GGCACTGCTTTATGGGTCTTTTTGGCCAAGAAAGTCATCCTCAGCACAGCCCTCCAGGGCACCAGGCACTATGATTTGCATACCATTCCCCTCAGGGCAGTGATGAGCAGACAGATAATTGAAGACTGGTGGTGTTTTGAGAAACTGCGGTGAGGAGGGTGTACTTTCATGTGAGCACAGCTTGGTTTCTGGGTCTCCCCAGGCTCATGGGGTAGCAGAGGGCATAGCTCCTCAGCAGTCAGTCCTGTGCCTTCTGAAGTTCCACCTGAATGTGAGGAAGAACTTACTGTGGGAGTGACTGGAGCAAGCTGCCCAGAGAGGCTGTGGAGTCTCCTTCTCTGGATATATACACCATCCTTAGAAATGTGCTCTAGGGAATCCTGTTTGATATGGGATGTTGGACTAGATGACCTCCAGTGGTCCCTTCCAACTTTAACCAGTCTGAGTCTGTAACAAAAGAGTAGTTTAAAGTCCTTTGTAAACAGGAATCAGCTCTACTTGATATGTTGTGCCTCTTTGACTTTGTTAAAGAGGCTTTGTTTGACTCAGGGTGTCTTCAGTAAGGTACTCAACTCTTCCCCTGCTCACTCTGGCTATTGGGAGTTGATTTGGTTTCCCAGTGCTTGTACCTGAGCACAATTGATGTGGATACAACTTGAATTTCTATGGTTTGTCCAAAGGTTTTGTTCCTTGAAATTTTGTACACTCAACTGACTGTTTTTCTTGGCCACAACTATACATGGATACTGCATTTGGGAGGATGAGAGCTCTGAGGCAGTATAGAGAAGTCCTTCACCTTTCTGTCTTTCATGTTGCTGTCAAGCCTACTGTAGACTTTCACCCTGGTTCCCCAGTCACCCCATGCATCCAGCATCCAGTGCAAAGTTGACAGGAGTAGCTAAAAAGGTTCATTTTATTGGAGTCCACTCCATCCCCAACTCAGGCAGTATACTTGATTTCTCTGCATTCCTTTTCTCATTAGAAAAACTGCTCAAGAAAAACGAGTTTATGTAAGACTGTAAGTACTGCCTTGCTTATACTGACTCTATGGAATAACCTTTGATACCACTTCCCATAGCATTCTTCTGGAGAAATTGGTTATTCATGAGCTGGATGGGTGCCCTCTTCACTGGATTAAAAAACTGGCTGGATGCCTGGGCCCAGAGAGTGGTGATAGAGTTAAATCCAGCTGATATCCAGTCTCCAAGGCTCAGTAGTGGGGTCAGTTGTGTTTAATACCTTTAATGATGATCTGGACAGGGGGTTGAGGGCACCCTCAGTCAGTTTGTTGCCCAGCAGAAAAGGACCTGGGAGAGCTGATCAGCAGTGACTGAACAGTGACTGAGCCAGTGTGTGCCCAGGTAGCCAAGGCAGCCAGTGGCATCCTGGTCTGGATCAGAAACAGTGTGGCCAGCAGGACCAGGGCTGGCACTGGGGAGGCTGCACCTTGAATCCTGAGTTCACTTCTGAGCCCCTCACTTCAAAAAGGATGTTGAGGAGCTGCAGCATGTCCAGAGGAGGGAAACAGAGATGGAGGAGGGTCTGGAGCACAGATGAGGAGAAACTGAAGGAGCTGGGACTGTTTAGCCTGGAGAAAAGGAGGCTCAGGGAAGACCTTATCACTATTTACAACTGGCTGAAAGGAGGCTGCAGCCAGGTGGTTTGTTCTCTTCTTCTAGTAGCATGTAACAGGATGAGACAGAATAGCCTCAGGTTGTACCAAGGGAGGTTTAGACTGGATATTAGGAAAAATTTCTTCACAGAAAGTGTTGTCAAACTGCCCAGGGAAGCTGGCCACTATCCCTGGAGGTATTTAAAAGACATTTAGGTGTGGCAGTTAGGGACGTGGTTTAGGGATGGACATGGGTTTGGACTCAGTGATCTTAATGCTTTTTTCCAACCTAAACGATTCTGCGACTCAGTGAATGTTTGTAACTGGAAATGGCACAGCACGAGCGTCTCCTCTGAGGCGCCATCTGGTGCCTCATTGTAAGCTTTGCATCCCGTGTTAAACAATCACTGTAATCATAAAAGCCTGACAAGTCAAAGGACAATTTTTATTCACAAAAACTGAGAAAGAGGCATTTCATATTCTGATGATCTAGTTAAAATTCCTTTTTAACGTGTTTCATTTAAGCCTTAAAACTTCCACTGAATTGCTGAATTCGTGGGCCAGGAATACATTATTTCAGCTTTAGTCTTTTCTGATTAGTAAAATGGCAATTAGTTGCTGAAAAATTAGTTGCCAGTGATCCAACAGTGAAATTTTTCCTGAACAAAATCATTAGGCCTTGTTTATGCTAATAAGTTCCTTTTGAATCTGTGGGATAGCTTCAGGCACAATCCATGTGACAAAAAGAACATTGTGCATCTGACTGTGTTCAGTTCAGAGCTACTAGAAAATGTCTTACATAACACAGATGAAAAAGATTAGCTATTTCAGAGTCATCATCTATAGTTCTAAAGGACATTACAAATGAGCTTAAATAATTTAATATACTTGTAACATGGACTAGGAAACATAAGCTCTTCCATTTATGTGAAATTGTGAAGTTTACAAGCTCCAGAGATATTAAATGAATGGAAGAATGAAACATGTATGTTTAAATCGGTAGAAGTCTTTCATAATGCTGCATTTTTTTTGTTTTCTTTGTTAAGGTTTTTTTTTTCCTGAATGGCCATTTTTAGCATTTGTAGGAACTTTCAAAAAAAACTGAGGACCTGTGTGTTAGGAAGATATGCAGGAACATCAAAGGCTCTGAAATTGAGAGCATCTCAGAGACTTCATGTATTGGTTTGACTACACAAAATTGGCTACCTGATTTGAAAAGTCTGGCGTGTTTTGCCTAAGTCCCTTGGTGATCCGAAGGTCCTAGCCTGGAGGAGAGCTTGGAACTGCTGATTCCCATATTTTGCTCTGAAACCATGAGCTCCATTAGTTAAGATACATAGGCAGCACCGTTGAGCAGTTTCATTTGCGACACTTTAGGTTTCCCTTCTGCTGTGGTCACACGCTGCTGTACTTAACTAGTGTTTGGGGATGAAGTTGTTTAACCACAGGATATACCAGAGGCTAAGGGCAAAGAATTTTATAGGAAGAGCTGGTAAAACCTTTGATGATTACTTTTCTTTAGACCTTTACACACAGCCTTTTGCTAGAAAAAATAGAGCCCATTGCAACCTTTTTTTTTTTTCTTTTTTTTTTTTTTCTTTGTTTTCAGCCCAGCTAGTGATAAAGTGAACGTTAGAAGATGGGTCTTGAGTACATAGTTTCAGTTTGTGCAAGGAAAATGAATGCAATGTCCTCATGTAGGAATTTTCAAGCTAATTACATTGCCTTGAGCCTTGCAATGCAAAGTTGCAGCTGCACAATGGAGCCACTTTCGGTTAAGAACCTGCATAAAAAAGGATCAGGTCCTAGCAAAGGCTGGCAGGCTGACACTTGGGCTGCAAAGAGAAGGGATTTTTAGACTCTGTCCTATAAAGCTACACGGTGGGGGAGTTATTTCAGCAGGTAAAAGTTACCTGTAAACAAAGTTCAAAATTGTATGTGTTTAATACTGCAAAATATTTTAAAGAAAACTGTACTGTGTCTTTCAATGCCAGTATAGAATATGGGACAGGTCCCAAGGGAAGCTCAGTCCACCCGAGGGCTTACAAACCCTGACTCTGTCCCTTTAAATGTAATTGTTAGTAAACACTTTCATGAAAGAAGCTTTCATCGGAGAAAAAAAAGTGGCAAACTACAGCGGTAAATAATTTGCCTTGGCAAAAAATATTTAAGCCAGTGATTTGAACCGTAATTCTGTTCAGCATTATCATTTGCTTTGTAAATAAAAGTGCTTATCCAAACAGCCAAGCTTTCTGTTGTTGATGAAAATAGGGAAATGTGGGGCAGAGGGGACGTGTAATTTCCCTTCCTTTCTGGAAGTCTGGGGTTTCCAGCTATTCAGATGAAACTGCTTGTGTTTCCATCGATACGAGCCTTGCCCTGCCACAGCAGCACGGGAGAACACGGTTGAAAAATGTCCCCCTGCCCCCCGCTCTGAAGGGGTCCCCAGTTTCGAGAGGCCTCTGCTCGGCAGCCCAGCAGAGGAGCTTGGGGAGCCCGCGGAGAAGGAGCCGGGCGCTCCCCAGACCCGCCCGGCCGTGCGGGGGCAGCGGCGGCGGCGCGCCCCGGGCCGGGCCTCTCGGGCCGCCACACCTGACAGCGGCCGCGCCGCTTTTGGGGGTGGCAGCGGCAGATCTGCACTGCGCAGCCCCCAGCGAGCTTCCCCCCGCTTCTTCTCTGAGCCAGATGGAGCCGCATTTGGTTTCTCTTTTAAGCATGTTACTTTTGTGAGGAGAATAAAACGAGCAGGAACAGCTCTTGGCCGCAGCGGCACAAGCGAGCCCGGCTCTGCCAGAGGAAACCACATAAAAGCGCGCGGGTGTGCGTCTGGGGGGAGGGCGCAGCGAGCGATGATGCCTGGAGCTTCTTGCACTCGGAGCTGCGATTTGTGAGTGAAACATGATGAAATCACCCCCTGGACAAATCACACGAGCCTGTCAACCTCACCAGGTGGGATTACTCGTAGCTAATAGCCTGAACTCCCCGAGCAAACAGAGCTCTGCGCTCACTATAAAAAAAAGGCGACAGTGCGGCGCAGGCTTTTCAAGAATTCCCTGGTATGGCTAAGCAGGGCTGCGTCCACTCGCACCAGGTAGGAGAGGAGAGGAGTGTGTTTGCTTTTAGAGGAGGAGTAGCCCGTCTCTCCTGAATAAGTTCCTACAAAAAGGAGCGTTTCAGCTCCAGAAAGAGATGTTTTATTCATAAACCCCTTCTGGTTTGTGTTACTCTCCAACGGTGACGCTGTCAGCTGCTGCTCCAGTGATGGGAACTGCAGTGCTAGGCAGCTCCAATGTACTGAGGACCATCTCTGCCCTTTATGCATTATGCTCTTAGTGCAAAAGTCCTGCTTCTTGTACAGTTTGCTTACTTTGCTGTTTTACTTTTGCAGGTTATATCCTTATTTGCTTTTGCCTTTGGAGTAAATGTCTGCATGGGATTTACAACAAATCGGTTTAGGAGATCTGAAGAATGGGATGAGGGCCCGGTCTCAGGTACAGTAACGGACATAAATTGTACATCACCATATACCCTTATGTTATAGACTGCGGTTAGAAACCATTCCTGCTCTGTAACAGTACTTTGCTTGTTCCTTTTCCCTCTAGGATATAGAAAAGAATAAATAACTCGCTGAGCTTGAGTCAGTTGACCTTTGGGACTCACCTATAGGTCTCCTATTTACTTAAACTTTTGCTCTTTGTGCATGTGACTGTGGAAAATTTAGCTTATTTTAGGACTGAGCACTGCCAGTCTCACAGAGACTGGTCTCCTCAGCTCTTGAAGTGTTTGCTGTATTTTGTACTCTGCATGGCTTCCTTCTAGCACTAAGGGAAACTCCCTGATGGCTTTAAGGGTGGTGGATTTATTTTGGTAGCATTGAAGCGGTTTCTAGAAACTTGATTAATGCTTTCAAGAGGCACTGGTGAGAAAAGCTTTTGGGATTTCTGTGGCTCCTGAGGTCATGCTGGTTTGTGAACAGTAGTCGGCAGACATCTGACGGCGGAGAGGGCTGGGAGAGGAGAGCAGGTGTTCGTGCAGATGTGCTGTCACCGAGTCCTCTGCTTTTCTTATGCCTACTACTTTTATTCTTTGGAAGACAGCAAGAATATGCCACAGGAGGAACTGTTATTTGTGTTGTGGGGCAGTATAGGGGTTCTGTGAGCTCAAGCATAGTCCAAATGGAAAAATGTATAAACCAGACTAGTCTTTTTTTATTCAAGAAAAGGCAGGCTTGAGTTGTGTCTCTGTTCCTTTGGCAGGAGAAAGGAAACTTGTGGTCATTGACTTAGAGCTGGTTAACATAACTGAAGTGAAAGGGTTTCATTTGCAGTGCCTGTCTGTAATGATAGCCTTTGAGGTTTAATTATAAAATTGTTTGCCATGGCCAGAGTTTCTTGTGTTCCTGGTAATGTATCTGTGTTCTTCTGTCCTCGCTCTTTGAGGAATTGGTGTCTAATCACAGCCACGACCTGGGCTGCTGGTCACTGAGTAGAGGCATTTTAGGTAATGAGGAAGATATTGGCTGTTGCTTTTGATCTTTATAGCAGTAGAAGAAAAATTGCTTGAAAAATAATTTCTAAAAATCTTCTAAGATGCTAACTGTAGAACAGATGTGTATGTAGTGTGTGTAATAGGGATGGGAAGGATTTGCATTTCAAATGTTCAACACCTGAGTGCCAGTTGCTTTGCTTTCACTGGTGACTGTCTAGGGCAGGGCTCAGCTGGTTTTTAGTGAAGACCCAGAGGTCTGATATTGGGGGTTCCATGGCAGCTGATCGGTGCCAACTCTGCTGAGCCAGCCAGCACTGTTCAACACCTCCAGGGCTGAGAGCAGTACCTGTGTGCTCCTTCCAATAGCAGGAGGATTAGCTCAGCATTCCTACTACAAAAGTAGGAAGAAACGCAGGATCTCTTGAAAAGGGCAGGAGATGGGGTATTTTTGGAAATCTATTGAAAATTTGTTTACAGGTGGGACTGACCCAGCACCTGGCATTGAAATAATCCAGTCAAGGGTGCAATAATGAGAGACAAAGTAATGGAGAATTTTGTCCATTCTGTGTTCATGTAGCTTGGTTATTTTTATTGCAGGAGAAAAAAAAAAAAGATAGCAAAACAAAGGAGTATAGTCACAGTCAAGTATAGACAGCAAAAAGTTAAACTGGAGATGTATGGAGTTTTAGCAAACTGAAAGCACTGTGATCAAAGAACCTTAGTCACTCTTAATTGTATGACTTCCAATTATACTACATTAGAAGAGAAGAAGTCCAATGAAATATGCACAAAAAAATTGGTATAAATTCTTTTTCAACTTCTCTGTTCTTTAGCTTCTTTGCTCTCAAGCACCTTGATGTTGAGAATTAATTATTTTATAATGGCAAAACACTTTCTTTACCAAGCATTATTGTAGAAGCCAGTTTGTTATTTCTCCAGAAGCATGCCATGACTGTAAGCAAATTTTCATTTTCATCTAGCATGGAACTCTGCTGTGAGCCAAAAACATAATTTTTTTTTCCTAGTCCCTTGCAAATGCACTCCAAAGTACCACCACAGTGGCTAAAACACCCCTTCTTGTTCTCTTTTTACAGTGTACAGATGTATGTCTTTATACACTTAAGATGTTGAATATTTGTACCCAACAAATTATTTAATTGAAATAAATTTTTACTCAAAATTTTAAGATGCAATAGAGAATCAAAGCTTGCATTTTTCCTTAACGTTGCCTTTGTAAGTTACTTGCTTTATGAATTTTCATAGCCATCTTTTAAAGCACTTTCAGGGGAAAATGGCCTTAGTAATTTCTTGAAGCATGGTTCTTGATCACAGTAGCATAATGTAATGCTTTGGAAGGAGAAATATTGTAGTTTTTCTCTCTTCTCACTGTAGTTTTAAGCGCGCAATTAAAAATGGAGTAATGCTTTTCTTCTGTTGGAACACTTGTATTTTTCCCTTCTCTGACTTTCCATTTGGATTTCACTCATTGCAAAAATGAAAAGCAAGTTCATAATAGAAGTATCATCTAGCAGAACTAGCACTCCACATGTTTTGTTTAAGTATTTGGTTGTTCCATATGGGAGCCAAAATGGCAAATTTTTACTTGGTAATCTCCTTCTTATAATGACTCTGTAAGCATGTCTATATTGTGTAGTCCTGTTTTGAACACTACTGTAAATAAATTGATTTCATTATTTTTAAACCTTTTAATCAGATGGAATCAAAAGAAATAGTTCGATATGGCACTTTCTAAGGTAAATAAAACACCTTTAAAATGGAAATGTAACAGCTTCCTTGAACTGAATCACAAAGGTACTATTGCCCTATTTAGCTTTGCTCTCTAACCTATGACACAGAAGACAATTAGATGGCTGTTTTGAACTCAGTGGCAATAAAAGAAATGTATGGAATACAGTGTGAAAAGCTTTATGTATGAGATACTGAAGGAAGGATCTTCAGGCTGAGGTCCTTGTGCCTGCTGCACCATCTGACTGCAGGAGCTGTGGAGGGATGCAGGAATTTTGAAAAGCATTTTAAACTATGTTTGCTCTATATAGGGCTTTCTGTTAATTTGAAAGTGCTCACCAGAGAGAGAGCTCCTGATGACATATTTTCAAACTATTTTGCATGCACAGTACCTGTGCCATGCCATTGTGCATGACCTGAAAATCATGGTCTGGCTGCAAAGGCAAGGTCAAGCATGAGAAACAAAGGAGTGATCTTAATGTAATTGGAGAAATTCAGCAAGTTCTCTTTTGTGCTGCGATATGGAAAGTGTCCTGCATTGACTCAGGACGTGTGACTTGAATTTGCTAAGTGACTTGGGATAATTTGCTACATCACTAATGAGGTTGTCAAGAGATGTGAAAAAATTAGACAAGGTAGGTGGGCTAAACCTTTCTTACGTGAAATGGAAACCCTACTTGCAGTTATAGAAGATGGAGCTAGAAGGGATTTTGAACAGCCATGTAGACCTTCATATCCCACAACCAGGTCAGTTGTTACAGAAGTACTTCTGACAGATCTTCTAAATCCCTAGCCCTTCTTCAAAATCTTCAAGCTCTGAGATTGCACAGCTTCTGTGTGGGTGGTTTCCTGGTACAGATGAGCTGCTCTTTACAACAGGTAAAGCTCTAGGCATTCCTAAAGCTGCAGTTAACATCTCTTACGTAATCTCCAGTCAGATTTACACCTTCTCTTTCCTAAACACATGTTGATGTGTTGGTTTGGGTTTTTTTTGGGCCTTCTGAAAAGGTCTCCCTCTCAGCCCTTTGAAATGAAAAGGGTGATGTCCAGGGTAGGGTTTATATGCTGGTATGTAATACCTTCAAGTTTCTAATACCTTTGATTTGCAGCTTACTGGATCTCTGATTATGTATTACCTACCTTACAAAAAAGAAAGTAGTGGAAGAGATTCAATAGCATGAAAATATTTTTTGGTAGTAGACTTTCAGAAGCATTTGATAGGAAAGAGCTGTCATCAAAAATAAAGACCACAGCTTCATAGCTCTAAAAATTTGAGTGTTAACATGATTTGAAATAATTCTCATGTGGTTGATTTCTAGCATAGCTTTGTGACCTACTCATGTAAGCAAATACTAATCTGTGTATTGCCAGCATAAATGCACACTCTATCTCCTTGGAATTTCAGGTGGCCAAAATACTAATGGCTCACTAAGAGCATTCTTGAAGGGTACATACCTATAGAGTGAAACTTCACTGTGTGTAGGATGTTACTCACCCTGAGCACTGCTGACCTGATCGAAATAAAACCCCCCAAAGGCAGAAGGATGGAGTTGTCTGCTACTACCTTTTCCAGCAGTTATAGGAGTGTGCCTTGAACCTGCTATGAGCCACAACTGCAACCGTGGTACATTTGGGTTTCAAACCTATGATCTTGCAGTAGCACTGCTTTTCTGACAGGTTTACTCCCTGAAGTGGTTTGTGCTGGTGTCCAGGCAGTGCCACTCCAAGGGAAGTGGTGGAGCAGTAGTGCATGGGATGAGAGGTGGTGAGACATCAGCTGCTCCAATGTCACCTCCAAACTCCCCTTTCATCATCTTTTCCATCCATTCTCACAGTGTTCAGTTAATGCCATCTTATTTGGGAAGATATTTCCCTTCAATTTATGTGGAAACTAAACTCTCAGCTATGTAAAAGTGTAGGGGGAAAAATACATAAGAAAATATCAGAGCAACTATTTCCCAAAAGTGCCATTGCGTCAGTCCTCTAAAAGTCATACTGGTAATCGTGTTGAGGTTTGCCAAACCCAAACCAAACCATGGCCTAAAAGGAAACAAAACACAAGACAATTTCAAATACTTAATGTTAATAGGTCTCTCAAGGAACAAAAGGCATTGTGAAATTTTCCTTGGAACACCTCTATATTTACAGGATAACATACATTCCTTAGTTTATTTCATAAAATACAATTAAGCCTAGAGAACAGCACACAATTTTCCTGCTTCATATAAGCTGTTATGTAGGATTCTCCTACAAGAAAAACTTTTAAAATATATAAAGTGTATAAAATAGTAAGTTTTGAGAAAAGAGCAGACATATATCAGCTTTGATATTAAGGGCCCTTACTAATAAATAAATTATTGAAGTCTAATACATTATTCATGGTTTGCAGACTGACAGCCTTTCATTTACTTATATACATAATAATTATTGATTTATTAACTACTTCTGTATTTTTAATTTTTTTTATAATTTCGTGCTTTGCAGAAGGCATTCAAAAAGCCTTGCTTTATTTCTCCATTAATTTATAGGGCATTTTAAAGTTTTCTTTCACACTTCACATTGATTTGACACCTTCCAGTGTAGCAGACCAAGTCCTGCTGTCTGCATGTAGATTAATTGGAGTCCTTTCCTATGTAAACTGTCCAGCCAGCCATGAAAATGTCACTTGGTTTCTGAAAACAAAGGCCTGCTTCTGTGGAATAGCTACAGCTCCTGGAATGGGGCCTTGGAGACTTCATTTCTGCTAATGATCTCTTGATTGTTACAGAGGTAAAGCCAAGGCTGTTTCTTTGCAGGATGTTATCACAGCATGCTGCTTCCTCTTATTTTCCCTGAAAGAACAATTTTTTTTGAATTTGTTCTTTTTTTGTTTTGTTTCTTGAAGCAGTTCTTCTGCTCTCCCTTCCCTTTCCCAGAGCTAGCATCCAAGGTCTTGCTCATTCGAGTGGCTCAGGGCTGAGCTGCCTGTCCCATCGCTTGCCAGTCTGACAGATGTTGCCCTGTTTCTTGTTCCTCACAGTCCTGTCAGATTCCCCTTGGATCAATACCTCTGGCTCCTGCAAAAACAGATGCTTTGAACTTCAAGAGGCAGAGCCTCCTGGCTGCCGCTGTGACAACCTGTGCAAGAGCTACAACAGCTGCTGCTTCGACTTTGATGAGCTGTGCTTAAAGACAGGTATGATGGGTCTCCTGTCCTGCACTGCCAGGCCCTGCTGACACGAGGGTTCTGCCAGTGGTCAGGACCTGCTTGATAAACCAGCACTCCTTGGCATAACCTGCATCTCTTCCTCGCCTTGCCTTGGCTGGGCAGGCTCAGCTCAGCCCAAAATGCAGCCCATGTTTCCTTGCAAGGAGCAGCAGGAATGTGCACCTATTGCTCCTTACTGTGGGGAGCAGAAAAAGCAGGGTACTCTTCATACCACACTGAAAAGCAGATCTTCTGACACTAAGTTAAAAGCAATAATCAGTGTTCAGGCACCCATCTGACCTCTAGCTTACAATCAAAAGCTGTGGTAAAAACTGGACATTAGTCATTTTGTGTCAACCATCCTTTTTCATCACAGCTGCTAACTTAATATTGGAACAGCTCAAGCTCACTTGAGAGGGTGCCTTGGAAGCTGGGATCACTGAAGGGGTATGGGTCCTCTTGGAGCAGAGGACAGCCAGTGCTTGCTACCCATGCCCCAGACCCTGATTTCCAGGTTTTAGGATGCATATTACTGCACTGGTAGAAACATTTGACTTCAATTCGTTGGACCCTGGGGGATGGAAATATAGCAATAGGTTCACTTTCTGGTTTTGGCTTTTTTTTCCCATGAGTCATGGGCAAGGAAAACTTCAAAGAGGGACAAGAGTTATGTTTTACTTCTTAGCATAGTGCATTTAAATTATTAGTTGTACTCATCTGCTTCAGTGTTTGCACAGTGGTCAGAGTTGACACAGGTGCCTTTTATTTTTGCCATTGAAGTTGTTCTTGCTTTATTGAAGTGTTATACTTAATAAGCAGCCAGAAGAAAAGTGTAATGATTAAAAATATCAGTGCCCATGGATATGCCATGCTTGAAAGTCTCGACTTCCTCAGTTCTGTTTATGATTATATAATTTTCATAGATTCGTACCAAGAAAGAGTGAGCTAATCTATACGAAAAACAAGTCTGGTCCCAGGCCAAAAATTTCTGAATTCTGAATCTGCCCTTGCTGTAAATGGCTGCAGAATGAGAAGCTCTTTTTGAGGACTTTCAGCGTGATATCTGCTACCAAAGGGCAGAATTTCAGTTCCTCACCCTCCTGTCCACAGCAGACACATATGTTCACATATGCATATGGATACCTGTATAGCCCCTGGGGCTGTTGTGCCAGTGGTCATATACTCCCACAGGCATTTATTCAGGCAATTATCACATGTGTGATCTGTAAATATTACACACTTTTAGAAAAAAGCCCCGAATGAAGCAGAAAGGGGATAAAAGACATTGCTCTGATGTGTGGTTTTTTTACTGGGTGCATGTTGTCTAAAGTGATTTTTAGTTTCTTCTGTGGGCCTTATTGTGGAAAACCATATGTTTAAAACCATTGGCCCTGTTCCAAAGCAATGTACTACCCTTGAGCGAGCCCCTCATTTAGACAGGCCAGGCCTTAAATTTACTTGCAAGATGAGAGGAGATGGAGTTCTCACAGCGACCATGCCATGCTTTTTTCTGAAGAACAGCTCTTGTATTTTCCTATCTTTGAGGTTGGTGATGGATCTGCGCTATGGGTGAGGAACTGATGGTGGGGAGTAAGGCATCACTTTGCATCGGTGTAGTCTCTCTTCTCTACTTTCATACTTTGAACAGAGGACTGTAGTAATTGAGAGGAAAAGCAAAGATTTCCCAAGAAAGACCAGAATTCTTAATTTGTGTTTTAGGTTCCACCGCTTATCCGTGAAAATCCATTTTTGTCTTTTCCTTTCCACACTTTTTCTGGCATTGAGATTGTACAAAGCCTGGAATACAACATCTGAGGGTATCAGAAATACTGTTTGTGGAGGAGTTGGAGGAGCCCTCATGCACTTGCAAGTGACAAGGGTCCTTTTATTTCTGGTTGACATACCTACTTTAACGACTAGAGTGTATTCATTCATTAGCGTGAATGAATAGTTTTTGTTTTGATTGCAATCTCTCATTCTTGCTTACATTGTGAATATTTTAGCTCGGGGCTGGGAGTGTACCAAAGATCGCTGTGGAGAAACCAGGAATGATGACAATGCTTGTCACTGCTCTGAAGACTGCTTAAGTAGAGGAGATTGTTGTACTAATTATCAAGTCGTTTGCAAAGGTAGGTCTTTGGTCTTTCTACCTCTTATCTTTCCAAACCCAATAAAAGGCATGGTAAAAAGTTTTCATCTAAAAGAGGACCTCTTCTTGTTTTGCTTTGATTTTTTTTCTTTTTTTTTTTTTTTAGGAGGTGGGGGAAGTGGGTAGTTGCATTTGTAAATTTCTGGGCAGAGGTAAATAATATGTTGGAGGATGTTATCTTTGCCTGTAGAGGTAGTGGTAGGAAGAGGTGGAGGTGGATGAAGAAGAGTTTAAAGCAAAGCTATGAAGTGTTCAGATGCGTTTTTCTGCATCACAGTGAGTGCAGGGTTATCTAATGATCCCAGAAGGAAAGGAGCATTCCTAGATATGTTAGCTCTGTCCCAAAGACCCCTCTCCACCCCCACCACAAAAGATCCTGCTCAAACTACTTGGTCTAATATCTGTAGGCTTTGTTTCTTGTGGAAGAGGAGTTGCAAGAATGCGAGAGCTGTTACTTGCAGGTGGGTGGTCATGGGCTTCAGATGACTGTGACACACCATGGCTGCAGAACAGCCCACACTGCCTGGTGGGTGGATGGTCTTTGAGGACTTTATTGTCATCCACTGCTCTGCTCTTTCAGAGCGTGGATGCCTGTCTAGTGTGTCTGCCATTGACAGTTGGTCTTCTGGTCCTTGGTAATGAGCTCTACAGGTTTTTGCTTTTGTATCCCACCTAGTTCTTAGGGTTTTTTTCATTCATTAACTTTGCGGGGGCAATGGTTACAGCTTGAAATTGTTTCACCATTTTGTACAAATGCATGTGTTCAAAAAATTACAATAGTCTAGACCCATCCATACACTGAAAATGGGCCTTTTTATTTACTTGGGTTTTGTTGTTGGGAATCCAAATGGAGTGTGTATTTTTCAACAAATCACTGTAGATTGTCCTTCCCCTTTCAAAGAAACCAGAAGCAGAGACCACTTAAATAATGGTATAGTTTCCAGTTCCTGCCTTTTTCGTGAGCTTCCTCTCACAAGGGTCAAGACAGAGGAATTCATACATCTCTAGCTTCATTATACATAATCTTAATTTAACTGGATAATAACAAACTATCTCAACAACCCTGGAACTCTGACATGACCAAGCTTTATGTGAGAACAGTGTTTCCTTTCTATTCGTGCCTTTACCCATCTGAGGATAGTGCGTTGGGTTTTTTTTTCCCTTGGAAATTGTCCGTCCACCTCCTGTCATGGTCAGTTGGAATTGCTGCAGCACACTTTTCCTGCAGGTCTTTTCTATGATGTTTTTTTGTTTTGTTCTTTTAATTGAATTGCAGTTCCTTTAATAGTGCCAGGTTCAGAAAGTAGGGTTGTTAGTTAATAATTTGGTTTATTCAATTGATCTGTAAAAATGCAAGTCATGAGCCACTCTATAGACAACATTCAGCAGTGGAAACCTTAAGAAAGTAGTTGATTACACAAAGTAATTTTAACTAATGTAGTTCTGAAAGAGTATTTAATGCTTTTTTTAGCTTGAGTCTCACCTGATCCATGAGCTGATCACCTCTCTAAGCCAGCTGGAAACTATTTAGAGTTGTTTTTCTTCCCCAGAATGAATTTTGTTTTGTACCTTTAGCCAGCTGAATTAGCTCATGGAGCCATCAGCACTGATGGTAGGAGGGTGGGAATTCACAGCCAGAAGCAGCACTACCTGTTTTTGACAGATCAAAAATAAAAAAAATTAAAATAGATGACCACTGTGTCTAAAGCGTTACCACTGTCTCCTGCGGTCAAAAGGACACTTTTAACTCCAGTTTTAAGAGCTGGTTGTAGAAGTGCTAGTTTGGCTATTTTTGTTGAATAGAATATAACCAGATCACTTGTTCAGCTTTGTGAAAAGACATTCTCATTATTCATGGGAAGTATGACTATTCAGTCCATTAACTGGAACTAGACTTTATTTTTTTATGTATATTTTCTGTGAAACCTGTAGCTGTATCCACAGATTTTGTATTTTTTGTTTTTTTTAAACTCCAATGTGACTTTTCTGGTAGGAGAAACCCACTGGGTGGATGATGACTGTGAGGAGATAAAGGCTCCTGAATGTCCAGCAGGGTAAGTGCTTTGGTTGCATCTGGAAAGGCAAATACAGGAAGCCAGTGGTCCACAGCTCTGCCTCGGACCTCTGCCCATCACATTTCTGCACTGGCTCTGTCATGCAGGCTGAATAACTGTGAGTTGGATTCTTTCCTGGGCTTCATAATTACTAAAGTTAGGCTCATAATATTGTAATGCATTTGCCTTTGTGCTGCTGGATGAGTAGTGGTGGATGATATTTGGGTTTGAACTCTTGGTCTTCAGTCACCTGCTGGTGGGTTTGCCTGCTTCACTTACATGCACAGGGAAGGTAGCCAGACTCCTCTGAAGTCAGTGGGAAGGCCTAGGTTGTTCTGCTTTCAATAAAATTCAGAATAAGCCATACATGAACACAGTCTGGGCCATTTTTTGGTTGTTTTTTTTTAAGTGGAATTTTGTACTTTTAGCATTACAATCTTAAATGAAAGGATTTCTAAACTGCAGTGGGGTACAGACTTAGTGAGGAATTTGAGCACATGAGTAACGTGGAGAAAGTAAGTAAATTTTGAAAGCATTTATCTCACTATTATCCCTAAAGGAAAGCATCTGCTCAGGTGCTGTGTTGGGTTGCAGCTTAGCCTGTGCTGTTAGTAGGATAGCTTGGAGATGCTTCTCCCGGTGACAGTGACAGCTGCTAACCGCTGCAGCAGATGACATTAAAAGCCCAGGTGTGTCCATCCATGGGGCATATCTACCTGCTTGGACTTGACTTTCAGTAGCACTACTAAATTCAAAAAGTAATAAAGTAACAAGAAATCCTGTCATCTTTAGTATGTTAGAATGAACTGTGCCTCACAGAGCATGCTCCAAATACTCCACGCACTTCTGTTTGATAAAGACCAATGGTCGTGAGACTTGTGGTTTTCAACTAGAGATTGTGTGCTGGACTGGGTACTTGTGCATGGTAAATCTCCTTCTCCATCGCCTTCTACAAGCATTTGCCTTTATGGGTTATATCTTTTTAGCTCAGGGAAGATGTCTTTTATGTTGGATATAGCCCTTTCACTGACTGTGAGTGAGCACTGGGTTACTAAGTGTGAGGATTATCAGTTTCTAATGGTCTGTTAAGTATGTAAAAGACTATAGGTATATAGTTTATACAGTAACTGAACTTCTGGATTTCCTAGAGGCTCAGTGAGCAAGTGGAAATAAAAAAACCTAAAATTTTGAAGTGCTGCTTTATATTCCTGCTGCTTTTGCCTTCAGCTTTGTTCGTCCTCCTTTGATCATCTTTTCTGTTGATGGTTTCCGTGCTTCATATATGAAGAAAGGGAACAAGGTCATGCCCAATATTGAAAAACTGAGTGAGTACATCTATTTTCTGTCAGTAAATGAAAGTCAGTCTCCTGCAGCCCAATTGCTTTCATTGTTTGTTGAGCTACAGAAGGGTCAGCATGGAGATGAAATGGCAGAAGTCCTCTTTATATTAGGTGATATCAAAGCACCCTGGTGACTTGAAAGCACCCTGAATAATGCATTACACAGCTGCTGCTTTGGGAAATGCTGCTCAGAATCAGTGACCTTCATGTCTTTTTGTCAGCAAAGAAATTCATCTTTAGTACATTATATGTATCATGCATGCTTACAGGCTATTTGGTAGGTGCCACAAAACTTTCCACTTGGCTCAGAAATGTTAGAGGTGTGGATAAGTGGCTGCAGAAGCTGCACTTGGATGCCTGGTAACTGGCTGAAAACATGCTCTGCACTCACCCTTCTGGGAATGGGCATCCCCTTGGGTTTGTGGAGGACTGGGTGCACTGAATACTTGAGCCTCTCTGTATTGCGTGGTAGTCTGTCTGCCTGTACCCTTGAAATGTGTTGGGGTTTTTTCCCCTGTGTGTGCTGGCCCTCATATTTGTGTAGCCAACTATGGTTGGGTTCAATGATCTTGAAAGTCTTTTCCGGCCTGAATGATTCTATGATGGGGGGCTGAGGCCACAAAGCCCAGTGTGAAACTGTGACTTTGGTGTATTTATTACTTAAAATAAACCTGTGTTTTCTCATGTTGTTTTACTTAACAAGACACTTCCAATGACTCCAGATGGAGACTAGCTCAGGAAACAAAAACAGTCTATGGGAATATAGCTGGTTCTGTAGTCATCTGGAAGGATTATTTCAGTTGTAAGTTGTGAAATACAAAGAATAGATAAGTAGATTTACTACTGCCCTTACTGCTGACTGCTGATAAGCAGCAGAAAGTTCATTTAAATTAGTTAAAATTTACCTGGTTTCTGCATAATTTTGATTCACAAAAATTACTTTCTCTGATTTTGTTTTCCATGTCTAAGAGCTTTGCTTCCTCACATTTGCATTTGATTTTTCAGGGTCTTGTGGAACACATTCTCCTTACATGCGACCTGTTTACCCTACAAAAACATTTCCCAACTTGTACACCCTTGCTACTGTAAGTAGGGGATGATTTTTTAATGATAAAATGTTGCACTGGAGTAGAAGTGTGTGTTATGGGAAGCAAGGTTTAAAACAAAACAACATATATATGTATAACTGCTTCATTGTCCATCCTTTTTGGTAATTATTTATGATAAGTATTTTCTTCATTTTGAAGAAAAAGTATTTAAGTATTTTCTTTTATTTTGAAATGGATTATATCTCACCATTACACACTGTCACAGCTTTCCTATGCTTTCTTATGCCTGCTTTAGCAGTTATTTGTACTGCTGCATAATTACAGGTCAAAGTTTTCCTAGGGGAAAAAAAACCACCCCTGAAATGCTGCCCTGAATACAACCAGCAGTTGTTTCCCTGCTGGAGCAGCCCGAGTCAGTGGGGCAGTGAGCAGCTGCTGAGTGTCTGGACGCTGTGCTGGCCCTGCACAGAGAGGAGCCATCGCTGTGCTGCGGAGGCAGGGCTGGCAGCCAGGCTGTCCCCACACCTGTGTGACACTGCTAGTGCTCCCAAAGCTGCCAGAAGGGACTCTCCACCTGCAGCTGCAATTTTTTCCCCTTCTTTTTCTTTTGTGGAACCACTGCACAAATGTTTAAATGGATGAGACTGGAGCATATGGAGAAAGAATAGGATGGGAGGGGAGAGGGCCCAGAGAAAGGAATTTTCTGGTCTTCTCCCTGAATTGCTTTTACTGCAGGACAAACTGTGGAATAAGGCCATGGCTTTGCGTGACCTGCCTCAATTTTTTTTCCTTGGAAATAATTTATCTAACAGAAGCAGTCATGGCAATAAAAATAGTATAAAATGGAAATGAGAAGTGTTACTCTTGCAACCAGAGAATGAATTACTGTGTCCAGAAAGAGCATTCATAAATAAGAACTGAAAGTACAAACAGATCTTGTTTTTATACATTTATACTTTTTCTTTGATGACCTCAAACTAACTTTTAAACAGTGTGAAAAACTTGAAAGTATTGAGTAACAGGAGTTTTTTATTCTTTTTAGCAGAATTCAATAATCTCTTACTGCTTTCATTACTACAGCCAGATTTAAATGTGCTTATCTGAAAGTAAAAATCTTTTCTGGTATGTAGTTACAAAGACACTTATTTTAAAATAATTTAGTGGTACTTTCAGATGGCTAGGAAGCACTGCATTTGTGTGCATTAGGGTTTTACTAATTAATCTACTTTTGCACAAAGGGACTCTATCCTGAATCACATGGGATTGTTGGCAATTCGATGTATGACCCAGTGTTTGATGCCAGCTTCAGTCTTCGAGGGCGAGAGAAATTCAATCACAGATGGTGGGGAGGTCAACCAGTAAGTTTCAAATTCCCTCCTACTTTTTTCTTCCTCCCTCTTCTCCCTTCCCCCTGTGCTGTGGAACATAGCCAATAATAATAATTAAAAAAACCATATGTGAACAATTTGTACCTAATCCCTACCCCCTCCTCCCCCTGGCTGCCCCTCTGTCTATCAGTTTAATGTAATGTTTTGAGTTGGCTTTTGCTTTTCAGAATAATAAATCCATTGACTATGGAAAGGTGTTTGTACTGATAAGTATAAATTAGACACAGCTAGGATAAAACCCTCACTTGAGGCAGCAGTGTAACACTGTGATTTTGTTACTGTGGCATAATTTTTCCTTTTCTTTATGGGTTTCTTAGGTTTTTGTCCTAGTAATGTTCTTGAGAAGTTTTAGTATAAATATTTTGTCAGCATAGCACAGCATAATTTCATAATTATTATTAAAGTCCACAAGTAATCACTGTTACCTGATTTACTGCAGAGGCTGTAGAAACTTGAGAATTAATTTCTGCCTTGAGCACAGCAGCAGAGGCTGGTCCAGTCTCTTGGATTAGCGTTGGACTAGGTCTGAACCTTTATTCTAGGCAAGGAGATGGAGTCCTTCCAAGTATTCTGTACTGCTACAGCAAAGACAGTCCCTTTGCTTCTGCTGCACTTTCCGCATTGGTGCATGCTGTAGTGGCTTTCTTTGACAACAAAAGCAAAACCAGCAAGGTTTAAGGAAGCCAAGGTGCATGCACATTTCATTGCACTGAATGCTTAGGGAACTATGGTTTAAATGCTCTGTGATGAATTAACCTCACAAAAGAGTGAGATGGTAGAGGTGAGGAAATCAGAAGGGGTTTGGAACACCATAATCTGTCATTTGTTTGCTAAATTGATCCATATCATCCCCCAAATCTCTTAAGACAGAAATATCCCAAGAGGCTAAAGGAGTTGCTCTGACAGTTGTAGGCTTAGCAAGTGTGTGTGTTGTCTGCAAGTCATTTAGTCCACAACAAATGTGAGACAAGACAATTTAGAGCTGCAGGCAGATGTGTCTGGCTGAAGCTGAGCCAGAATGAGGTGTTTGTGCTTTTGAAAAGTCTGTCAGTGACTCCTTGGCTAGCTGTGACCTGGGTTAGCTTTTGGCATGGGTGGTGAGGAGAAGACAGAGTGAGGAACGTAGCTATTTACCTTTCCAGATGGAATCAGGATCAAAACTAGGAGCAGCAAAAGAGCAGCAGTGTGTAATCTCTTTATCTCAGCTACAGCCAGAGCCACACAGTTAACACCTGCTCCAGTCTGGAATCGAGCTTATAGATAATCCTGTGGCTCAACTGCTGTGTGACAACTCATTAAGTAGCTGGAATTTAATTATGCATTGCAAATTGAATTCTGCATCTTACCTTAATTACGGTTAGGTAGGAGTTAGTGGAGAACTAATTGTTGGGGCTTGTACAAATGTCTCTACTTTTAAACTATGACATTTTAAAAGTACGATATAAGTCTATGAATACTTCATCACCTGCTGTGTTTTGTGGGGAACATTAATTCCCGCACCTACTCCAGGGAATAAAAGATTTTCTGGATGAAAAATGTCATCTGAGAAGAGTTTGAGAAAGTTATGCAATAGTGGGTGACCTTATGCTGGATAGAATCATCAGAGGATGGGGTGTGTGTGTGTTTGGGGGGGTGTTGCATACCCAAGTAGGGATGATAAAATAAACCAGTTGTTCTGAAGAGTTGTTAAAAAGGAAACACACAAATCATGTAATAAACTGGACATGTCTTTGGAAAATTGGAAGCAAATGCACAGAGGAAGGACTATAATTCAATCCCCATACACTATAATATGAGGGAAACACACGAATTGGGCAAACCTGATAGAGTAGCTGGATAAGGAGGTGATAGATCTCTTGCAGAAATATGATATAAATTATACTCTGTCTGCATGTGCAATAATTGCACATCTGATAAGAGAGCTGCAGTTTTTTAGAAGAGAAGAATTTACCTCTGTCTATGTATTGGTTAGATACAGTCCATTTCTAATGCTTTTTTATAATTTTCTTTAAATATGACATTGACATAAACTGCCCAAAATACCTGGGTTTTGAAAGATGAGACTGTTCAATTAAGGGGGTAGAAAGGGATACCAGGTCTGTGTATCACAGGAATCCTGTCTGTCGTATCACATATTCAGCTGGCTCTTTTTAGGTCCTGGGTCTCAAACTGAAGTACTCAAAACCTGGAGAGTGGGATATGGTTTGCACAGGATTGGAAATTACTGTTTTTCTGTGCAAGAAGGCAGAAAGTGTCTGAGACTCCCAGCTTTGTATTAAGGCTAAAATGCCTAGAAGAGAATGTAATTTTATGTTGATAATTTCTGAAATACTTTCTGGTCCTGGAAGCTGGCATACTGTATATGGTTCTATGAAAATGTAGGGGGGTTTGGTGGTCTTTCCTTCTTTCTTTCTTTCTTTTTTCAGTACTCAGTCTTTTGCTGAAAACCTGCCAGATTACCCCAGACATCAGTGAGATTTGGCAGATGAATATCTGAATGCTTTTACTCCACAAATTATGAGAAATTAATAGCATTAGGAAAGGGTGAAGGGGGGAGAAAGTAGCTTGGAAGTGTTTCAGGGTGCTGTAACTGGTTCTGGGACTTCCTGATTTAGTGTACAATGTTGATTTATTATATAAGCTTAAAACAGCCTTGTTTTCAAAACAAAAGTGTTTCATAGGAAACAGCCATAAAACCACTCCTCATACTGCAACAGCATCTCACAGAAGTGGTGAGCATCAGGGCCCATGGGGGAAACTAAGTTTACTGCTCATTTTTCATGACACTGACATTCATGTTTTCATCCCAAGTAACTTTAGGCACTAAATTTAGGCCCCAGCTGTCTTTCTTTGGCTTCTGTTAAGCATAGTTTTCCATGTCTTGGTTTGATGTAGTGAGTTTAAGCTTACACTACATATATTGGGCTTTTTTTTAAGTGATCTTTCATGATCTTTAGAAATAACCCATTAGCCTCTCCAAGGTCAGAAGAGGCAAGGTGTACAACTGCTGGTTAATGGGGACAGAGAGGCTCCTTCACAAGGTAACCTGGCTTGCAGCTGAGTTTGGGACCAAAGATGTCTTTCACTTTAGAAATATCATAATTATAAAAGTATTGATGGATGTTTAGGGTGCCTTATATGTAGCTTTACATTCACTATCAACCTTTTAAAGACTACAACCCTCAAAAAAGGACTATCTTGAGATGTTAATCCTTAAACATGGCCATGACATTCCTAGGTATCAGACAGCATGTTGTGAAACTGTCTTTGTAGTTTTCAAGGTATGCCTGTGGACATTAGCTATCATCACCCTGCATCTTAACATGATATTCCTGATTCATCCTGATTCAGTATTTAGATTAAAACCATTATTGGAATTTTGTTGATTTTGTCTGTCTAATAATTACAGAAACTTCAGAACACTGTCGTCTGCCTTTCCATCCTGAACAGGTCTTGCAATCACTTTGTTGATTGGTAGGGGAAACAGAAGGAGAGATGTCTGTGATTTTGTTTTATAAGTACTTCTTTTTATCCAGCTTGAGCCATGAACAAGCAATAGGACTCTGTCTATTTATTTAATAGACTTCTTGTACCACAAATCTTCTGTCTGGGCAAGAAGGCAATGTTTAGTTTCCAAGTCTGGGAGAACATTTCTGTTTTGTAAGAAGTGTGGACAGGGCTACTCCACATTTTACCTTGTTGGCAGAACAAATTGCAAGTGGTGCAGGAGTGGTATTAATTCTACATGCTTGTACCAGTCTTGTACACCTTTCTTTACTACGAAATGCTGTGATTTCCTCCTTCCCACCTTTACCTAGATGTGGAAGGGATTTCTCATTGCTACATCAGCCTTTGATGCAGTCTTTGATTCATCTGACATGTTAAATATGTGTCAGCCTTTGTGAAGTTGTGGGCTCTTGTTTATTCATGGAAGATTAAAACCAGGGAGGTGTCCCACTTTCTGTGCAGGTTTTCAAAGAAAATTCCACAGCTATCTTGAATAACTCTGGATTAAGTACTTGCACACCTGTCTAGCAGTAGGAAGGGAGAACCTGGGACTTCCATGTTCCATATGGCATTGACACCTAACTTATTGTTTAGCCTTATCTACTTTCTATAAGTAATGGAGAATTGTAGTCATTCAACACAGAGGATATAAAAATAAAAGTAATTCAACTTACAGGATATGTTTAATATATATCTGGGAAAGCATGCATACTATTTTCATACTATTTTTCGGGACACCTGCCAGTGTACTAGGTTTGAATCTGTGATTGCATAATTTAATAGGTCTTTCTGTATTGGAAAAGCTGGATACTGTTGGTTTCCTGTGGCATAGTAGGAAGATAGAGTGGTTGATCTCTCATTATTTTTCAAATATTTATTCCCCTTCTCTCTGCTTAAGCAAATTAATTCAGAAATATGTCTTTTATATAGTTTGCAATACAATTAGGCTTGTGCCCTATGCAAGCTGGGAGTGGACATTTGACACGGTTAAACAGCTGACTATAAAATTCTAACATATTAACAGTTAAACCCAACAAAATTATGTACGGCAAATAAATTGCATAAGCTCACAAATGGTACTGACCTTGCAGAACAATAACCTTTATTTGCTTCTTAATTTCAGCTGGTTTGAATGGACAAGGTTGGGAGGGCATCTGGTAACTTTTTTCTGTCCCACCCTCCTGCACAATTTGTAGACTGCCTTGAAAGACAATGAATTTAACTTAGACGGTGAGAGGCAGTCACTGGTGATAAGACCACAGTAAGAATTTGCTGCCAGTATTTCTACTGAAGTTATTACCCTAAATCAACTTGTGTGCTGCCATCAGTTGCTCCAGTCTGTTGTCTAATTTTGCCTATCCATTAAGGGGTCTGGGTAACAAGGATATCTCAAGCAGAAACAGCTACCGCTAGATTTATCAGCAGTGTCTCAACTCTAAAACATTATGAGTATTTTATTTAGAGCTTGATCAATGCAAATAGAAATTCTTCCTCCTCGATATGGCTGCTTCTCTGCACGCTGAAAGACACCCACACGTGTGTTGCTGAGTAGCAGTTTTAGGTACCATGGTGATAGTGTTGAATTTTCTTAATTTGGATTTAAATAAATCAAAGGGCTGGCTGCTTTGTTGGTTTCTTTGTTTTTTTTTTGCTTCCTCCTAAAAAAGGAGAGCAGAGGTCCAGTAGAGATCTGTTGTAAGCTTGAGTTGAATTAGGCTCTGCCTGCCAAAGTCAGGATGGAGTCATTGAGACTCACTCAGATGTTGTAGACAGATAGGGGCCCTTTGATTTGCTGATTTTTGACTTCAACAGATCCTTGTCTTAGCTATTCATCTTATTTCAAGTGCAGCAGACACATGTACTCATCTAAACTGCTAATGCCAATGTAAATGGCTGCATTCCTGAGGTGAAATACTGGCAGGTGCAGCTTTTCCCTCTCTGAAGCCTTTAGGCTGAATGCCTTCAGGCTGCGCTTCCTGCTCTTAGGACTGCACAACTGAGGGCGATCTCCACTTATGTGCATTACCCCAGCGCTTGCTGTTTTCAGGTGACATGCATGAAGCACACTCTATGCTCAACAAGAATGAAAATATAGCGACCACTTTCTTACAGATGTGCTGGCTACTTAGCAATATACCAGTGATCCAGTTATTCATCTGTCAGGATGACAAGTGTTTTACTTGCCTGGCTGGAGGGAGAGTGTCTTTTGGCACGTGTTTAAAATCACCACCTAAAATGCACAGGGTCAGAGGTGAATTCAGCTGTGTAAGGAGAAGCACGGGATGTCTTCAGCTGCTGAGGGTAGAAATTGGCTGGTCTCATTTAGACAGCCAGGTAGACTGGACAGTTTGGGCCTGTGGACCAAAGTACTAGGAAGTCAAACTAGAGTCTGCAGATGGTAAAATCCAAACACAGAATTCTCTGGACTTAATTTGTTTGTACCTTCCCAAAGATATCTGCAAAATTATTTAGAATTTGCAGGAACACAAGTATTTTCAAAGAAAAACTCCTGTGGGGAAAATGGTTCTCCAAGTAGAACAAGACAGAGCACAGCAACAGTGGGAGCTGACACACATTTCATGCTGAATGTGTCTTTGACCACCTTTCTCTGCCAGAACTGGGCTTTTCTCTATGAATAAATCTGCAATGCAAAGGAAATTGCTTTAAGTGTGGGCCCTTTTTCACCTGTGAATACCATGATGCACTAATGAATATGTAATGAATAACTGCCTTAATTAGACAGTATCTAGGCTGGTTACATACCCTGGCTGTGCTGACTTGTATGGCGCAAACAAGCATCCTTGGATTGCGATCATACTTAGACTGCAGTGTGACATGGGCTGAGTGACATGGTCACTGGGTTGTAGGTGCAGTTCCTTTCCTGTCCACTTGCATCGTTCTGTCCCATCCTGTCAGAGCTAGTATCGTGTGATATTCAAATTTCAGTACCCTGATACTGAAAACAATATTGCTGTTATTCACTATAACCCCCAAATTCCAATATAAATTCAAAGCAATTTTTTTTCTCTTTTTTTGGCAGTTACTGTGCAGCCACATCATTTTGTGATCATTGTCACCATGCAACATGTGGTGCTGGTGAGAGGCTGGGGGAGATGTTTGGGGGACTCCCTGTTTGGTAGCAGCTTGAGTGTTTGTAAATGTAAACCAAACCTGAAATCAAATTCTTCAGGAGAAGCACCTGAAAACAAAGAGTGGTCTCCAAACCCATGGCCATTCTGCTCCTGATCTTGGTGCACATATTTAGTAAAACTTCCTTTCTATAGCATTACTCTGGATGTAGCTTTCACTGGAAAAGAGGTTTCTAGCATTATTACAAAGTTAGAGTAAAATGAGAGCAAATTACCTTTTATAGCTGTAATTTTAATTTAATTGGACCGAGTCCAGTCAAATGGAATGGAAGACGAGATGGAATAGAAGACGAGAGGTAAAGGTTGTGTCCAGGGCAATGGAAATACAAATATGACCAATTTTCCCATAAATAACATTACAATATTCAAATCTAATTGCTGTTAACTATAACCTCATTGTGTAAACGATCTTTCATTACTGTGCCAAATCAATTTCAATTAAGACTGATGTGTGAATAATTCAGGCAAGACATTTGAATGATGCATGTCCAGATGGCAGTTTATAAGTGCCTGTTTGAGCAAGGTACTGGGACTTTGTATTTTTAAAGAGTTGATTTAAAGTAAACAAAACCCTGCAATTATTACGTAAGTGAGCTACATTTTGTCCTAATATTTCATTAAGTGCATATGTTGCAGTATGCATGAATAATGGGAGGAAATAATCTAGCTCTATACACAGTGCCACTTTTGAAGAGTTCTTGCAAGAGAAATTTAGTTCAGTAGAGCTGCAAACATTGTTTACTTTCCTTGATTGTGAACCTTTCTGATTTTCCAACATTCTCATTTCCCTGCCTTGTGTAGTCATAGGATAGAAAAGAGAAAGAGGATTGTAAGGATAACCAGGAGTATGGTGTAGCTTTCATTAGAAAAAGATCAAACCTGTGTTTGAAAAGGAATGAATAGAGGAGAATATCATGAATGTTGTATAGAATTGGGAGGAGAAAGGATTAATAGCCTGTTTTGAAGTATGACAATGGTACCCTAACCCCACTGAAAACCAGCAGGTTTTAAACCAAACAGTATTAAAAATACACTCACGGAGTGTGTGACTACATTGCAGAACTTTCTGCTGCAAACTGATTTATAGCTAGAAAAATACAAGGGACTTCAAGGATTGAGAAAAGGGTTTGAAAATTTCGTGGAGATTTTTCGGTCATTCCCATCAATCACCCTATCGGGTGACCTCAAGAAGTTCTTAAACATCTGTTTAGGAAGGTGTCCCTCCCTGCAGTCTTAACACCTCTGTGTCACTCTCTGTGGCCTTTTTTGTGTGCTCTCTTCTAACACATCTTCTGCTGATAGCTACTGATTCCAAGAAGAGGGACATTCATGCAGACACTAATTAGTGTTGAGGTATGTTCCTTTCTAACTGAGTAGCCTCCAAAACCTGAACTCTAAAAGGGTCAGGTGAGTAGTGGCTGGGTTTTGAAAATGAAATTAAATACTGGAAGAATTCCTGGCCATGAAACTTAGTGCTTTTAATTAAAGCAACGTAGAGATTTAGGGGTGAAAGTCTACAGCACAGCAGCTGACCCACTGCTACAGAGTTTACATAGGTTTGTCACTCCTCATTTTCAAATTAGGGCTGAGGCTGAAAACTGCAGTTTTCACTTCTAGGCTCAGGGTAGAAGAATGTGTCCTGAAAACATTTTCTTTTGATATCAGAGAGTCATTAGAGATCTGAACATATTCTAATCCTCTTATATTTTCCTCATTAGATTTGGATTACTGCAGCTAAGCAAGGGGTGAAAGCTGGCACGTTCTTCTGGTCTATGTAAGTACCTTCTGCTTTCTGGAGATTTTTAATTAATAATTCAGAATTAATTCAATATAAGTGTTTATTAAGTTGTTTTCCTTTCTCAAGTCATTCAGTAGGTTGGAAACTACCTGTAACCCTCTATTGTTTCATCTGTGCAATGTTTCTGATAACTAAAGCTGATGCTACATTTTCCTGCTTTAGATTCATGCACTGACTTTTTTATCTTCAGTTACCTGAAGATAAGATGCATGCCAATGTGAAAAATTACTGTCATTTCAAAGTGTGGTTTTTTGCTTCCTTAGTATTGCTAGCAATGTTTCTTAGTCCTCTGAGTGTGGAAGACTCTTATTGTCCTCTTACATTAATTAACATCACCAGTCTAATTTACTTAATGGTCTGATTCATTCATTTTACCATACAGTCTGTCCTTTGAGCAAGATACCAAATTTCTCTTTCCTAAGAGACAGCCTTGAGGATATCTGCTGTTTGTTCTCTTGTTTAATGATTCCAACTTATTTTCCCTTGTTCCCACTAAAATGTATCTTTACAACCAAAAATGAATGAATTTTGATAATTTTTGAGGAATTTGTGTAGATCAGTCTTTCTATTACAGCATCTGGCAAGATTGCAGGAGCAAAGAAAATGTTTAAGCTACAAGACTGAAGTAATAAGGGGATTTGACTATTTTTCCTTTAGAAATAATATGGTTTACTGTTGTAAACATAAAGCACATAGAGGGAATAATAAAACACACTACGAGCTGATGATAGGTTTAGGATTGCAAGATGAAATCTGACAGAGCTCCACTCTGCTGCTCTACAAACTAAACTATAGCTACATAGTCTACATAAACACCCTGGTCAATGCATGCTTGGGGATACAAAATGTAAAAAAGGTAGCTAAGGACAGATTGTACGAATAGCACTAGTAAGGGAATGGGGCAGCCAGTTTAGGTATGAATGAAATGTATGTCTTACAACTGTATTATTTCCTTTGGTACACAGGATATTTTTGGGAGAACTTTCAGGCAGACTTTATCAGGAAAACAGAATTTGCAAAATATTTTAGTCAGAAATGAGTTAATTGAACTAGTGGATTTTCTTTTTTTTCATATTGCATAAGTAACTTTTATTGCTATAAAAACATAAAAGTTGGACAGTATCTAAAATTATTATTCCGGTTTAAAATATTATCTTATTTGAAAATTTTAGTATAAATTTTCAATTTTATGGTTTTTTACAGAGTTCTCTGTGTAGCTGGAGACTGAGTACTACTGTTTGTCTACAAGGCATTAAAAACAAAAGTATTTGCAAATGGCTGCTGCCATTTCTATTTCTGTGCCAGAGCTCTCCAAAGAGAGCTGAATTCAGTTCATTATGGTGACTGATGGTGGTGTCTGATTCCTGCCTTGGGATTCTGCTATTGAGCCAGTGGATTCTGGACTGACTGTGCCATTGTACTAAAATGACTGCATGGTCACTGGCCTGCAGAGCTTTCCTAAGATGAGATATTTGGAACTTTAACAGTTTCTAGGGTTAGTCATTCTCATAGCATGAACTTGGCCTCAGCAGCCAAGTAAGAATGGCAAGTGCTGTACAAGCAGTAAAGTCAGATGGGTCTGTTCTGCAGGGTGAGAAGCTGTCAGGGTTCAAGTCCCTGTGCTGCTGCCCTGGTGTTTCAGAAGGCTCTGTTCTGATTCACACCAGACTAGCCCTCAGTGGCTATGTTAAGGCAATGAAATTTTTCCAGTGTCTGGAAACAAGGAAAAGGAGTATTACCAGAGCAGGGTGGTTTTTTAAACTTGTACTGATGTGAGCAATATAGTGGATTTTACCCATGCCAGCTATCCAATGGCAGCATACAAAAAGGTTCATCTGGGTTAAAGCCACCAGAATGGATCTTTTATTCACTCCTCCTTAGAAGAGGTAGATTTATTGCTTTGAGTTCTGACTACGTTTGTGAACTTTTAATCATCTTTCTTGTGGAGTATGCAGACATTCAGGAGGTCTGATGTGATTCTGTTTGCAAATTAAGAATCAGTATTAAGCAACAAAGAAGATACAGCATGCTAAAAGCAAATTATGCTATTATGATACATTAGATTAATATAAAATTCAGGTCATAGCAAGCATTTTGTTGATGCTTTTTATATTCTATGATAACATGGTATATCTTTGTATTTTGTGGTCCAGTGTCATCCCCCATGAACGCAGAATATTAACAATACTTCAGTGGTTAACCCTTCCAGACAATGAAAGGTAATTCACTTATTATCTGCTGTCAGATAACTGCTAGTTTGTCTTCTCTTTATAAGTAGCTGGAAGAGAAAGCAAAAATTAATTTCTTAAATTTATTTTTGTCTGCTACAAGACATCATTGAATTAAGGATTTGTTTGGCTTTTGTGTTTAGTGTGGGTTCTTTGGGAATTGGGCTTTTTTTGGTTTGTTGGTTTGGGTTTTTGGGGGTTTTTTCATATCAGCTTTTAACCATCAGCATCAGATTCTTCCAAATAAATGTATTATATGAATTTATTTCCTATCAAGAAGCATGTAATTATGTGGATTAACTTGCATTGTTCTTATCCTACTGAGCCTAATATGGTTTAAAAATCTTACAGGCGATGGCAGTTGTAGAGCTGGACACCGAGCTCTAGGAAAATACTCAGATTTTAATTATGAGTGGGTTTTACTACACAAGTTCCCACATGCTGCTGCAAGGCTCAGGCAAGCTCCTGTTGGGATTTCTCCTACAAGATTTAGAATGAGCATGTGTCCTCAGATGGTACCCCATGTGCCCTCTTGCATGTGTTCTTGGGTGTAATAAACAACTAATCATGCCATGGAAACAGAGAACTGCTAAATAATTGCAGGATTCTATGACTGAGATAGAGCTTTTTCCATAGAGCTAAGTCTCATTGGAAAGCTGACTGGATGTGACTTGACCTGGCTAGCCTGTGTTTTTGTGGTGTTGTCAAAGGAAAGCTAACCTGAACAAGACCTTTCTTTCTTTTAGGCCATATGTTTATGCCTTCTACTCTGAGCAACCAGATGCTGCTGGCCACAGATATGGTCCTTTCAACTCAGAGGTTAGCACAGATTTTTTTTTTTCTACAGAAAAAGCAGGTGTCTCTAATACTTGGATTTTTTTCCCCAAAATATTGATGCTGCTCAGGAGTACCATTTTTAGCAACTTTGTTTTCACCTGTTTCTGCAGTATGCTTCCCCTCTGCTAGAGAAAACAGAGTTGTCTTCTAAAGGATTTATCATGTAAAATTCACTTCTGGGAGAAGAAACTTCCTGTGCCTTTCAGGAAGATATTTCTTGGTGTGATACTATAATGCAAATGGAAATATTTATTTGGTGAAGACAGGAGTATATTTGTGTGCAACAACATAATTTAACTTTCCTCTAACAGTTTATGCTTCTGAAAAGTAATTAAAGTATAATACAGAAAATATTGAGATAAAATGTAGAGAAGAAAAAAGCTTTCTTTAAAGCTGAGAGCCAGCAGTAGCCAAAGTAATAATTCCAGTTTTTCAGGAAATGTAAAAAGCTGCTAGTTCCAGTTTCATATAGGCCCCACAGGGATTCAGAAAGCTTTTCCAATAATGTTCCCTCAGGACCTTACTGTTGAGCTTGGAAAAACTTTTAAAGCACTATAAGGCATTTTAATGAAAAATTATATGCAACATGCTGCAGTAGTTTAACCCCTTGTTTGACTTTGTGTAGCTGGCTGGAACTGATGGGTAATGTTTCCCCTGACAACACTGTCCAGGTGACAAGAACTTAGAGGTAATGCACTTGTCTGGGATATGTGAGGAAAGTAAATGCGCTACCCAAATATCCTGCTTTGAGTGGCTGGGATCTGGCATTTCCAGTGATGTCTGACATCTTGCACAGGTCCCCTAGTTTCAGTGCAAATGCATGCCTGCAGATTCCCATCACAAGACTGCAGGAGTTTATATGTAAGATTTTCAAAGGGTAAACAAATGTGTGCAGTGTTCAAAAAGTGAGGAGTGTATCCGATGCCTACCCCCTGGAAGGCAATGCCGATCTCCTAGAGCAGCCACGTACCCAGCAGTAGTTTCTTATTTGTTTGGTGTACAGCTGGTGGCTGTTCTTGACAGTAGAGAGAAGCAGCATTAGTATTTTGTAGTATAGTTGAGTTATTTGGGCTATTTAAACAGTTTGCAGAGGTTATGAAGTTGCTGTGAGTAGCAGCCCTGTTGGAGCAGTTTAAGCTGTGGTCCTAGAGCAGTGGGTGTGAGGAATTATTCCAAATCAGCACTGAAGCACCATGTTGGATGGAGAGAAGCAGTCCATTTTCTGGATGAGCAGGGGTTAAGATCTGCCAACACTTGCTAAATTGACACATGTGGATATATGTCCATGTTGTCATTTGGCTCAGGAGTTGTCTAATTCAGTCAGGCATGGTAATGAGAGGTCTCTGATTTGATGATGTAGTTCTTAAATAGTGCTTTATAGTTCCTCTTAGTGAAATGTTACAATTACTATATGTGCCTTATGATTGAAAACTTTAATTATTTAATTAATTTTGTTTATCTGGATACCTGAACAGAATTATGGAGCTTTTTCCATGGACTTCAATGGGGAATATTAAGATGATGGCAGTGAAAATGTTCTTTCAATTGTGGTGTTTAACAAATCCGCTTAGCATCCAATGCGGCAATCTAGTTTCAGGTTAATTATAAGAGTGTAAAAAGTGAAGTGTAGCAAAGTGTTCATAAGAGGAAAAGTCATTATAAAAGCAAAAAGCCGCCAAAGGCTCTTCCTGTAGCGGGGTTCTTGTGGGTCATTATCTTAAGGTTGATCTCTAATTGCAAAGCAAACCTTTGGCTCTTAGTAAGTGTGAATTAATAGCTTATGAGAGTTTTGCAAATAGATAGTTTCATGTCATTTGTATTAAACACAAGATGACCATGAAATTGATTTTCAGCAAATTGAGAACAGATGAGTTAGCAGAAGAGCATGTATGGGTTTGCAGTTCAAACAGTGAACAAAACTTTGTGAATGGAAACTTAAGTAAATGAGTACAGCTGTGTAAGTACACAGATGCTGAGGTTTGCTAGGGGCCTGGTTTCGGGATAGACAAGCTAGAGGAAGTATTTTATATTGTTTCTCATAACACTGGTTTCAGTATTTAGAAGCTATGAAATTTACATCATCTGGAAGAAAGTCCTCAAAAGGATCCCCCTCTAGCTAATTCCATGATACCAAGAGCATGACTTCCCTGTGAAAGATTTTTTTTTTCCTTATATACTGCTGGCAGCAGTTAGACATTATTACTGACCACTTTTCTTCATGCAAAGGCAGATCAACCAAACAATAAAGTTTGAAAACAAGCTTGTAACAACTGTCTTATATTTGCAATGGGCTTCTTATTTCTTCTTTTGAAGAATGAATATTTCATGCTGATTTTTCTTACTGCAGTTAGTAGTTTGAGGAATAGTTATTTACCTTGAAAACCTTCAAATCTTTATTAGAATGAAGGGAATTTTTATTTAAGCTTATTATACCAAATAATGTTCTAAATTTATTTTAAGTGTATAATCTCAGAGGTTTAATGGCATCTAGATGGCTCTTAGATCTTCTCAGGACATGCACAGCAGAGTGTCTTAAAGCAAGAAGCAAAGGGACTTAGATACACTTAAAATTTATTGGTGAATTGCCAGTGTTTTTTATATTGTAGCTAGTCTCCACAAGTAACTTTGCATATCCACTAACATGAATTTCAGTGTAAATGGGTTGGTTGTCTAGGTTTTGGTATTTGGTGGGGTTTTTTTTTTGTTTGGGTTTTTTGCTTTGGGGTGGGGGTGTTTTATTTGGGGGGTTGTTTTTTGTTTGTTTGTTTTTTGTTTTTTTTTTTTTTAACATTTTAGGAGGTATTTCAGTGGGTTCTATTATGTTTCCAGGAGCAGTTGTGGGAGTTATAAAATAATATGCTTGCTTTTGATTTACTTCTGCCTTTTTTTTTTCTTTCCCTCTGTGCTTCTGCAGTTGAACTCTGGTAGGTTGGTCCATCCAGGTCAAGAAGCAAAGCTTTGGCTGGCTGGTTACCCTTGTGATGTTACAGTTTCCTTCTGTAAGCGGGGAGGGATTTGGTTCCCTCCTCCATAACTCTGTTCTGACTTTTCTCAAGCAAGACTAAGAATTGGCTGGTTAATAAGAACTTGGCTTTTTTCATTTTTTTCCTACCTAACTTTTTTTTTTTACATAAAATATTCTAGAAATATACTACCATAAGAGCTCTGAAATACATCAAAATCTGGCAGTGCTAAGCCATTTCTGCTACTCCTCTAACACGCTGTCTTGAGACAGTCACTTCAGTGTTCAGACCGCAGTCTCCCGCGCTCGCCTGTTTCTGGCATTGTGGAGCTCTGTCTGAGCGATTCACAGACAGTGAAATGAGAGTCCTTCCTTTCCCTGCCGCTCCTCTCATCAGGACTGCACAAAGCTTGAAGCATTTTAGAAACAGAAAACTCTGGTGCTGCTTTATTAAAATGCCTTTCTGGAGAAAGACGAATGAGACTGGACTAGAATCTCCTTTCCAGCTGCTTGCGTTGGAAGCAATGAAACAGCATGGCAGATGGTAACATCCCCTTCTTCCCCTTCCCTGTTTATGGAGCTCTGTAACTCAACAACTGGGAGAAGCTGCCTAAGTACATAGAACTTAATTACCATCATAAATCTCCAACTCTCCCCCAGCCCACTCAGCGTGCTCCATTGCAGATTGTGGTTTATCTCCTGGTAGGTGTCACCTGTCAGCTCTTCTCATGCCATCTCGAACAGTGCCAAGAGCCTGTGAGTTGTGTGACAGTCAGCAGGAGTGGGATAGTTTAAAATTACAAGCAAGTTGATTAATGGGAGAGTAGTTTATTTTAGCTAGATCTTAGGGTTTTTTCCTTCTACATTTTTTATTTTTCCTTCCATAAGTCTATCCTAGGTCATTGTGCATTTAGGAGCAATACCATTACCCAATGAGATGCCACTCTGAAGCTGCTAGGAAGTTAAATTCTCAAAATGCCCATAAAGGTGGTAATAAGGCAGGTAGCAGCATGGATTTCTCATGCACTGCCACTAATGTCCCCCACCAGCTAATTTGAAGCTCCGTGTTAACAGAGTCTCACATCTGCAGACCCCACATAGTGGCAAATGGGGTTCTGGTGATTTCAGCGAGGTGCAGGGTGTGGCACACAATAGTGGTACCTGCTAGTGCTATGGATAAGGGTACTTGATTTCACTAATTCAGCCAAACCATTGATGTGGGAAACCTTGCAGAAGTCATTGAGACTGAACAGCCTTTAATCCTCACACCTGAACTGTTGTTCAAGTGGGATGTTGCATTTCCATGAGTACTCTACCCTGGACACTCATTAAGTTGTATGAGTGAATTTTGCTGTAATTGAAATTAACTAAAATCTCAGTAATATTAATGGATTAATATTTGATAACTAATACCCTCTATACTGTGTCTCTTCAAACACAGAAGCCCCACCTATCTTTAGAAGAACCAGTTTAATTTGCTTTTATGCTGTCTGCTCTTGTAACTGCTGTTCTGCTTTCAGTACAATTTGGTGAATTCCTCCTTAAAAAGGGGTAGATCCTAAATTGTCCAAAAGCCTAAATATTTGATAAGGCCATAGCATTTATGCTTCAGGATTATCTGGCATAGGTAGCTTTACTATCTGATGTGAGTTGAGACAGGCTTTTTTTCTGAGTCCAGACATCTCTCCCTGCCAGTACAGGAGAGTAGTTATGGCTCCCCTCTTACTCCGCCTAAGAGACCTAAGAGAAAGCTTCCTCCTAAGAGGAGACAGGAAAGACCAGTTGCAGCTCCAAAGAAAAGAAGAAAAGTACATAGAGTGGATCAATATTCTACGGAAACTCGTCGGAAGAAAGTAAGTTCCAAAAATTTATGATGGAAGTGCCACTTTTTAGGCACTACGCTGTCTTTATTTTTTTCAATTTGGGAGTTCACTCCATGCTTCAGGTTGGGATTTTGCAGCCAAAACTTTTATAAATTTTGGTGAAGGACCCAAAGGTGAGCAGCCAAACCAGACCAAGCCTTCTGGGGGCTGGGTTTTTCTTGTTTCAAACTGTGTGCATTAGGGAAAGTTATCTTTATAATCTCTTTGTTTTTTAAAATCCAGCCATCAGCTGGAGGCAATGTCAGAAAAATCTGAGGGAAGACTCTACCGCTGCTGGTAAACCTTCTGAACTATTGCAAGTTCTGCAATATGTTGCAGCCTCTGTAACTCCCAGCTAATGGGAACATGGTGATTATTTGAGGTTTTGTGTCTAGTCATCATGTTTGTGGAAATATCCTGAAAATGTGACTAATCTAAAAGGAAAATAACACTTGTTTTTAAAATACATATTTAAAAGTCATTTTGTGACTTTGGAGGATAAGGAATTTTTCTAGCAGGATTTCTGAATGGTGTATTTGCAAGAGGTGGTGTGTAAATCTGTTTTCACAAGAAAACCATCAAATAGAAATTGCTTTATTAGGCAAAAGTGCAAGCGGATGAAAGGAGTATTCCTCAGTGTACTGTCTTTGTCCACCTGGCATTAACAATCTATATATTTCTCCTTTAAGCTAGAAACAAAAGCCTTTACACTCCACAGTGTCCTACAAGAGGATGTAAACATTCTTCTCAAGAGGTTTTTTGTGAGAATGTTTTTTGACTTGTTGCACAATTCAGCTTTAAAGAGTTATTTTGCGACACACAATTTCAGCGTGAGAACATGGCAGACAGGGACATGCAAAAAAAATAACGTATAGAACCCCAGGGATTTTCCAGAGAACTTTTAACATTTTAAGATTTATTTGAGAGGAGAAATAATAACTACTATGGATGATATTACTATTACTCACTAATTTGCTATTCCAAGCGATACCCTTCCGACATGAAATAGAGTAGAAATAATATTCTTAGTGATGTGAACATATGCTGCTCTTTTTTTTACCTGTCTTTCTCTGAATGAAAAGGTCATCCAAACTTACCCCTAAAGAACTTTTCTTATAAGTCAGCTGTGAAAATTTGACACCATTATTTCAGAAAAAAACCCCTACTATTACTGTTACTATTATATCATAGTTGCCATCATATCTGCAAGTTAATCTTTTGATGCTGTTTGACAGCAATGAAACACTGTACAGGATGGATTCTACCAATTAGTAAAAATTAAAAGTAAGATTCTTTCTTTCTTCCTTCTAATCAGACTTCCTCTATGGGAAAACTTGTGAGAGAATCCAGCTGTTTTTTTGTTTCAGGTACCACACCCAACACTTTCACAATGCTACAAAACTCTTTATTGTAGCACCATCCTAGAAATCCATGTATCTTGAAAGATAAAATGGTTCTGTACAGTCGTTCAAAGTCTTGATAATAGGTGAAGAAATGTTTATGCAACAGATTTATTTGTTTGTCAATAAATTTTTGAAAGTTACATCTAGGAGGAACTGTAAGAGGAGGTCAGATTTCTGAAGAGGGTAGCTAAACAGAACTATCATTTGAAATTCTTGAATTGTTGCTGTTTATCATCATTATTAGTTTTTAAAAGAAGGCTCAAGCTTGCTGACAAAATTAAACATTAAAAGGAAATTTGTCTGTATTTCCAGCTTCCTTGAATATGTTTTGGATTCTGAGTAAAAGCTGTATTTCCTTATATGATTGACATATATATAATATGGACTTATATGGACAATATATGGACAACATAAGGGGACTTTCATAAAAATGGCATTCCCATTTGTAGAAGAAACTCTTTATATTGGAAAGTGAAAGAATGCTGAAATGGACAATTTTCCTTTTTTTTCTGGTTTCAAAGTTTTAACTTTAAATGACTACTTAGGATTTCCTTAATTAAATTATTTCAAAATTTCACCCTTTGTCTGAACCACTTCCATATGTTGCAGATATTGTTCCTCCTGTCCCCGCCCCCCCCATGATTCCTTCTCCTGTAAGTCCCTTCTCTCTGTATTTTTGGTGCCACATGGGAGTTGACATTTCCTGTGTCATAACCTAGCAGACTCATTTAATATCTATCCCTTAATGGTTCAGGCAGAGGGAGAATTTCTGAACCATCTCTTTCTGGGTCACACTAACATGAAGTTTATTTTAGAAAATTCTGGTGAAATCTATTTTTTTCTCATCCAGAATTTGTTATCATTCTTTTAGTCATTGGAAGGATATTTTATTGTGGCTACTCGAATCAGCCAATCAAACAGACAAGTGAGGAAGAAGTTGCCATATAGTGACAACAAATATTTTCTTCTCAAAATCAAAACAAAATGAGTCTTCTGCCTAAAATCTTACTTTTCTTCTTTCTGTGCCATCTGGTAAGATGTGTTTCATTTTCTTAAGGCTGAAAACATAGTCCTGTGTCTTGCTTTTTTCAGTTTTTGGGGGGGGTTGGTTTGTTTTTTTGGTTTTTTTTTTGTTTGTTTGTTTGTTTGGTTTGGTTTGGTTTTTAATGAAAAAGAAACTAATGAAGAAATCACAGTACAGTATCTGTATCCTCTGGGGCCTGCTGACAATTTTGCCAGAACTGTCATTTGAGCTGTTGGAAACTCTTGGCTTTGAAGCTGAAGAACACTCACTCTGAGCCCCATGTGCTACTCAAGTGACGTGCATCTTGTCATCCTGGAGTCAGGTGTCCTTTGAAGTGAACTTCATTAAGTGCTTTGGCATGTGAATCCCAAGTCTAAAGCTTCATTTCACACTCATTTTTTGACTAAACCATTCACATGAAATACTGTTTTCTTTTAAAAGCACTGCTTTCCATCTGTAAGAAACAAACTGAACCTCAAAGTCACTTGTCTTTTTCTACTATCTACGCATTGCTTTACCAACTGTACACATGTTCATGGGAGGTCTAGGATCAGCCATAAAGACCTTTTGCTGTCTTGTGTCAGCATCTCAGCAAGGCTTTCTCACGATGAAATCATGGTGTGGATATATACAAAAGGAAATGGTGCAATAATTGTAGGAGTAACAGCTCAGCCAAGGCTTTGCCTCTTGACCTGGATGATTTTCCCATCAAAGTTTTGCTAAAGGACCCCCATTTGTAGAAGTAGAAGCATTGCAATGACAGAATTAACTTTTTTTTTCTTCTGAATATTTATACAGATGATGGTGAATCCCCTGAGAGAGATTGACAAGACAGTAGGACAGCTAATGGATGGACTGAAACAGTTGAAACTACATCGATGTGTCAATGTTATATTTGTTGGTGATCATGGTAAATTTTAAACCATAATATTTATCAGAAGATAAATGCTTAAGCAATGTAGCTGTAAATATAATAGGTAACCTAAATCAAAGTTCCATTTAAGATATTTTTGTGCTGATATTTTTTTCTGGTAGTTTAACTCTCCCAAAAAAAGCCAGTTGGTGTGGACTGGCCACTCAGCTCACCTGTTAATTGTCATGGAGGGACACTTCTCTTTCATAACTCTTTCATAGTGATCTGATGTTTACTTCTTTACTCAGAGCTTTTCAAATCTTGGTGTTTCTGTTGCCACATCCAATGTAGCTCTTCTTGCCTATATTGGAGGGCTATAACTTGCCTAGAATAACCTACTTGTCAGTTTTCATGGAATAAAAAATTTAATAGCCTTGTTGTTCTGTACATGAGAAGAATAGGACTTTAGATTGAGGCATTTCCATGGCAATTAGTAGGTCAAGTTATCATATTAGAAGAAAGACTGGAATATCTTTCTAATATCTATGGAATATAAGACTGTGCCCCGATTAGATGGAAAAGTAATCAAAATAATGGAGGAAGGAGGTAAAAGATATTTCATGGTCAGATGTAGTCACCTAAAAGCACAGATATTATTTGGTATGTCTTATTCCTCCAAACGTTCAAATAAACTTTGCAATATAGGAAATAGTAAATATTAGCAAAGATAAAAAGAAAGTTTAAATGAAAATCTGGGTTTGCATAACTTTTTTAGTGATGCCAGCAAAGGTCCTCTTCTTTTTAAGTCTTTATTCCTGACAGTCTCACATGAACTGCTACCTTAAAAATAAAATGGCATATGCATCGTTTCTGGATGTGGGTAGAGGAGGGTAAGGGTCAGGAGGGATTTCCAGGGGTGGCAGTTTTGTGCTGAGAACCTCCTGTGGCTGGCAGTGCATTCCTCCCCACCACAAATATCTGCAAGAGAAAATTGTTTATCTGCGGCTGCCTTAGAACAGACCACCAACAGACAATACCTTTTGTGTGCTATTCCTCTTAAAATCATTTGTTTGAAAAGAAATAATCCCCAAAGTAGTACATGAAACTAGAAACAGACTTTGATTTTTCTATGAGTTTAGTTTGGAGTTGAGTCAGTGCACATATGTTATATGTCACACAGTGGTGACTGTTCTTACGATGCCTAGACTGCTATTTCTCTTGCATAGGCACTCCTAGTTTGAATCCTACCAGTGTATTATGTTGGAATTAGATGGCTGTAAAGAGCAAAATGAGTAAGCCAAAAGAAATAATACATAGGGTGTTTGGGATCTCCTTTTTTTGCTGTTCTGGAAAATGTGTTTATTTTCAGGGTGGGTTAATTTTGCATTTTCTTTCTGCAGGGATGGAAGACACGACTTGTGAAAGAACTGAATTTTTAAGCAACTATCTGACTAATGTGGATGATATAATTTTGCTGCCTGGATCTTTAGGGCGAATTCGCCCTAGGTCTAGCAATAACCTAAAGTGTAAGTTAATTTAATTGTACCTTTTATATCCAGAGAACTAGACTCTATTCCTTCCTTGAAATGATGCTGTCCAAAGAGTGTAAATTTGCAGGGTGTTGGCAGGAATTTCAGAGGGAATCCCACTGAAGACAGCTGCTTGCTCCCTTTCCAGTTTGTGCTTCACAGACCCCATAGTGATAAAACTGTTTAGGGGAGGGCTTAAATGTTCTGGGTTAGACACCACTTTTTTATATCATGGAGGAATGGGAGCTCCAAGCCAGTTTCACATGCCAGCTTACGTTTCACTGTAAGTTTATTCATGCACTTTTCTCCTCTGTCAACAAAAACTGTATTTGGGCAGTCTCAGCACTGCACAGCTTGGGTATAAAAAAAACCCAAGTGGTACATTTTATGAGCTATTATGAAACCAGTGACTTGTTAACTTTGAATTCAGTAGTTTTATCATACTTTTGGCACAGATGAGAAGTCACGTGGGTTGCTAAATGACAACAGACTGGAGATGTTGAAGGATATAAGGAAGATCAGCGCATGCGTCCAGGGCCAGTGTTGTTAGCAAAACTTGTTGCCATTTTCAACCATGCTTTTAGAAGTTTATCCTGACTTAGTGTTTGAGATTAACTGATTTTTGACAGCAGGTCTCAGGGCTCAGGCAGGAGTCGTGTGGTGAAACTAACTCTGTAATTTCAGACCAGCTGTCCTCCTTTTGCCTCCAGGGCAGCAGTACCAGGAGAGGGCTTTGTGCCAGCACCTTGACTGCTCTGGTTCAGCGTGCAAGGGCAAACCTGGCTTTGCCAGCAATTTAAGCTACCATGCAAACTGTCTAACTCATAAGTAACCCATAGGTACCTGTGTTTTTTGCACCATATGCTTCCAAGAGTGACAACTTTTGATAGAGGGGAAGATCTGACAGCTGGGATAGCCAAGTATTCCCTCACAACACTTCAAATATGCTCTGGGTGAGGACAAATTTCATAGAAAGATCCATCTTTGAAGATTAAATACTTCCAGAATAATAGCAAAAATCTTAAGAATGTAATAAAACATCCTTAATACGGATTTGTGTATGTATTTTTTTACTATAAACTTTTTTTGCCTGGTAAAAAAAGTTTGTAGTAAAATAAATGCATTCACAAATCAGTTTTTGGGTATTTATGCTCAAGGAATATATGATGAGTGTGTAAAGATTTGTTGAAAATAGTGCACGTGTTAGTCAAATTTTGTAGACTAGCATGAGACTGAATTCTTACACTCGACAGTCTACTGAGAACAAATTTCAGTTCTGAGAAGTTTTTTGTTTGGATTTTTTTTTAAAGATCTTTCAATCTTTGTCTTTCCAAATTGCTGAGAAAAATAAGTTTTCTTAGAGAACGAATGGCAATATATTTCAAAAAGATCAGCTTGTCTGTGTGACCTCTGAGTCATACCACTGGTTTCCCACAATAATGTTTTCCTCTCTTGGCCTCTGTGTGCAGCTTCCTAGTTTGAATATTTACAATTGCTTATAAATCAGCAGTTTGAATGTAGAACTTGAAAGAAACATGTTTGTAACCTTTAGAACTGGGGTTTACCTCCTTAAATGGCAAATTACCAAATTCTTTATTGTTCCACAATACTGTCTCAATACTGCAAACATACCCTTGCAATGCAAAGGCCTGCAGCTTGTGTTTTGAGATGCAGTAGAGCCCATTTCAAGCTCAGCAAGATCATACCTTAAACAACCAAAACAATAGTATTTGAACAAGAGATTTTCACTTCCCAAAATGTTCTTTTAGCCTATTTTTCCTCTCATGACTGAAAAATGTTTCCTCCACTCCCCAGAAGAACATAGTTAGTATGGACTGTTACTGGGTTTAGGCTTTCTGCATCTTGCATGTCCCTTTAATAGCTCAAAAACAAATTCAGAATATTTTAGTGTGGCTTTTCACTTATTCACCAGTAGCCTAGGGAACCAGTCAAATGTTAGAAGTGACCAAAAAGTGCTGCATATTTATCTATTTATTCAGCACCAAAAAGTTCTACTCCTTCTAACAGAGTGCATTGTTGCATTCAGGTATGCTTTCAAAATTTTTTGAAGGAAAGTCATTGTGTTTGGGGATAATTTTTTATTTTAGAGTAAAACAGACAAAACTTTTGAAAGTGTGTGTTTGCAGAAAACAAAGTAAGCTAAGGCTCAGATTATAAAACAGTGAGAACACTGTCTAAGCAACTACATGTCACCAAGCTATCACATGGCACGTGCAGGACAGCCAGGGGATCAGGCCCATCCAGCATGGGTTTAGGAAAGTCAAGTCCTGCTTGACCAACATGGTCTCCTATGGCAAAGTGACCTGCTTCTGTGGATAATGTTTACCTGTAAAGTCTTTGATATTGTCTCCTACATCATTCTCTTGGAGAATAGGAAGCCTGTGGCTTGGACAGGTGCACCCTTCAGTGGGTAAAAAACTGTCTGGACGGCTGGGTCCAGAGTGTTCCTCAGGCTCAGTGTCAGGGCCAGTTCTGTTTAATATCTTTATTGATGGTCTGAATGAGAGGATCAAGGACACCCTGAATCACTTCGCACACAACACCAAGCTGGGCATGAGTGTTGATCTGCCCGAGGGTAGGAGAGCTCTGCAGAGGGATCTGGACAGGCTGGATCAGTGGCCCAAGGCCAGTGGTGTGAGGTTCAACAAGGCCAAGTGCTGGGTCCTGCACTTGGGTCACAACAACCCCAGGCAGTCCTACAGGCTGGGCAACAGTGGCTGGAAAGCTGCCCTTGGAAAAGGACCTGGGGATGTTGGTCAACAGGGACTGAACAAGAGCCAGTGTGTGCCAATGGCATCCTGGCCTGGATCAGACACAGTGTGGCCAGCAGGACCAGGACAGGGATTGTCATGGTCCTGTAATTGTCTGCATTTGGCACTGGTGAGGCCGCACCTCAAATCTTGGGTTCATGTTTGGGCCCCGCACTCAAAAAAGGACATTGAGGGGCTGGAGTGTGTCCAGAGAAGGGCCACAGAGCTGGGGAAGGGTCTGAAGCACAAGTCTGATGAGGAGCAGCTGAGGGAGCTGGGGGTGTTTAGCCTGGAGAAAAGGAGGCTCAGGGGAACCTTGTCACTCTCTACAGCTTCCTGAAAGGAGGCTGTAGCCAGGTGGGGGTCAGTCTCTTCTCCCAGGTAACAAAAGACAAGACAAGAGGAAAAGTCCTCCAGTTGCACCAGGAGAGGTTCAGATTGGATATTAAGAAAAATTTCTTCATAAAAAAGGTAGTCAAGCACTGGAATAGGCCACCCAGGGAAGTGGTGGAGTCACCATCCCTGGAGGTATTTAAAAGATGGGGCACTTGTGGACATGGCTTAGTGATAGACTTGGCAGTGTGGATTAAGGATTGGACTTGATCTTAAAAGTCTCTTCCAACCTAAATGATTCTGTGATTCTATGATAAATACAAAGCACTTTTAGTAAAGGTCAGGGAAGTATTAGGAAGTATGCTTATGTAAACCTTGTGTTTTCTTTCAAAAATTTTTAATCTTTTCTATTTTTTTACCTTTGTTTAACAGATGACCCCAAAATGATTGTTGCCAACCTTACAGTAAGTATTTGGGACTGAGAGGTATCTATCTATATTTCACTATTCACTTCTTAATTTGCAGTGTTATTCATTTTCTTTTCTCACTCTTTAAACAGGAAAATCAACCAACCATTATTATAAATACAGAATGTTAAATGCTGCCCTTCATGAGCACAGATTAATGTTAGTCATGTTTTCCACTGTTTGCTGCTCTAGTAGCTTTTATAACCTTTTTGGGCAGTACAGAGGCAGAATCTCCTGGACTTTACTGCCTGAATTGAGTCTATTTATTCATTGCTTCAGAATTGGAAAGTAATCTTTTAGGGTAAACATTTTACTAGCACTTTGAAGATGTTGAAAAAGTGCTTTTGATAGCCTTCAACTCTAACCTTGCCATTAATGGAAGAAAAGTGTTTAAAATTAAAACAAAACCTCCCAAGTTTTGTAACCAGATGGCTTTAAATATATCTGCAGATAGTTTGTATTTTTGAGCATTCAGGTTTCCACTGGAACTTAAACTTTGGTCCAGTTAGAATAAAATTATTTATCTGTGATTTAAGTACATGTAATATTTTGTTTGATGGTTTCATAAAGACTGTCATGAGAATGAAACTTTCCAAATATATCTTTGAATGGCTCCTTGGGCCTTGGCTGCATGTAAATACTGCACAGAAATGACTGGACTAAATACTCTAGGTGTACACTTTGTTTTCCAGACATCGTCAGTGATCATCTTAACAGCTTGATGTTTGTAGTCAAAGGTTTTGTGTGCATCTTAAGCTAACTGACAGCATGCTATTTGTAACCATTTATTTTTCAGTGTAGAAAGCCTGACCAGCACTTCAAGCCTTACCTGAAACAGCACCTGCCTAAACGCTTGCACTATGCTAACAACCGAAGAATTGAGGATGTCCATTTACTGGTGGATCGCAAATGGCACGTGGCAAGGTAAACCCTTGTGTTTGCTTCCATCCTGATTTCCAGTCTTTTCTTCTGAGGAAATGGGATGCTTAGGATTGTCCTGTCTGATAACATCCTGCTCCTCTGTCCTGTGAGAAAGAGCAGTTTTGAGAACACAAAATATTTTCAAGTGTGGGAAAATCAGTTGATAGATAAAAGGTAGAAACCCAGACTGATTTGCTCAAGCAGCTTGGTGGATTTGACTGATTAGCTTAAATGTAGATAAATTTTTCTAATGAGGTGCAAGCTCAGTCCAACAGGGGAGCAGGGAATATGGGAGGAAGGGGCAGGCTTATGTGGTGAGGGGATGTTGGGAAACGAGTTTGAGTGGATGCAGTGGGTGAATGGAAATAAAATGGAGATATTGGCAGAGTGGGTGAATGTGTGAGAAGATGTGGAAGGCTGTCACAGGGTGGCCATCAAAGTGCTGTGCTGGCAGTGTATTGCATTTCAAAACAAATCCACAGAAAGCCAGGATGGGTTAGCTCTGGCAAAAACTCTGGTTTTGGTTGTTCTTAGCCGTATGACTCTGAATTTTTGGTAATAGAATATGGGCAGTGTTTATTAGTTAGCTAAAAATTGAGTGAGGAGAAGCCAGTTGGCACATACACGTATAGAGTGAACAGGAGAGGAGTAGCCTTTGTTTATGGATGGTGCACAGCTTTCTATTTGAGTATACTTTGCCATGTGTTGTGTGTTACAGTATGAGAGTGGTGGGCTCTTTTTGCATGAATCTGACTCAGTGCTTCTTGGAAGATGACACAGCTTTTGGCTCATGGTAGACTGTTATGAGCTTTAAATTATGGTAGGATTTTTTGCCCATATAGCTGCCAGGCAAACACACAGTGTGTTGTAAGTGCCTTTTGACATCTGTGCTTATCTTTCCATGAATTATGCAAGGATCACCCTACCGAAGCAGTGAATGAGAAACCCCGTTTGCTTTCTTGCATAACTCCACTGGCTGCTGGCAGGCTGCCCTGTGGCTGGGGTTATGTATACTTCAAAGAATCACACTCTGAATTTTAGGTCTATAAAAGCTTTAGTGTTAAGAATTGTACTGAAATGGATGGGGTTGCCCAGGTTGATTTACATTTAGTAATTTCTTACTAATTACATCAGTCTTTCTTTGGCTTATTTATTAATTTTCAGAGGTCTTATTCACCACTAATTCATTCATTAAATGTAATGTAAATGTAATTGGTAGTTACAGGAAAACAGTAGCTACAGCTCTAGTTGCTGTAACTCTAGTAATTTATAAGACCAAAATCAAACTGACTGAGCATTAATTTATTGCAGATGAAGAAATTAATTTGTAAGATAATGTGGTCCTCTGCGAGTATTCCCTGCATATGGCCGTATAAAACTATATAGAAGTACTCTGAAATAAGCTGGTGATTATAATTCCTATTACACAATGCTTATTTTCCACATATTTTGTAAAAAAACCCATCTCAATGACAAGCTGATAATTAACATTTCTATGGTACAACACTTTTTTTCCTAGCTCTTTGTCTTCATGAAGATCTTTCTTTTTTCAGCTTTTTTTCTGTATCCATTTTTGTTTATTGGGCTGAAGGCAAACAGGTGAAAGCATTTTATAGCATTGTATGACATTTGCAGCATTGTAACATCACAAAAGTGCTTTCTGAGCAGCCTCTATTTGACTGGAGGTCCAACACCTCCAGTCTGCAGGAGATTATGTGGTATGAGAAAATCTGAGAAAATAATAGATATTGAAGTTTTATCAATAATAAGAGTTGTTTCTAGAGTGGGAGTAGAGGGAGAAAACTTAGGGATGCTGTATAAGCCTGCAAGTCCCTACTACTGCTACTCATGAAAGATAAATTATTACAATGCATTGCCCTGTAACCTTATCCTCCCTGCCCAGAAGGATATTGTCAGGTCAGCTACCTTTGAGGAGAATTTCTAATACTTTTTCAATTTAGGAAAGCCATGGATGTTTACAAGAAACCAACAGGAAAATGTTTCTTTCATGGAGATCATGGCTATGACAACAAGATAAACAGCATGCAGGTATGAGCAGTGTCTGGGAGGGTCATTGAAGGTCTCTGAAATGTAAATATTCAATGAAAACCTCCTAAATTTTAATGCTCTTCTTTTGTATTCTTTTTTCTTTTTTTTTTAAGACTGTCTTTATAGGTTATGGCCCTACATTCAAGTACAAGACCAAAGTGCCTCCTTTTGAAAACATTGAACTTTACAACGTCATGTGTGGTAAGCTGCCTGCTTGAGAAATTGCAAAAGCAGCAACTTATTTTAACAGGTCTTCATTTAGACACCCATGAGCTTTTGCCCTGACTTCCTCTCAGGCTTTTTTTTTTTTTTTTTTTTTTTTTTTTTTTTTTTTTTTTTTCCAAGTCCCCTTTCCCAAGCACTTGCCAGGAGGGCTGAAGGCACTTCTCAGGGGTCTCAGCTTGCTCTGGTGCTGGCCAGTGAAGGGGTTACTATAGTTTTGGTGTTTGCAGCTTGGCAGAGATCAAATGGACACCTCTACAATGTGTGGTGTCCACATCTCAGCTGTCTAGGAAGGAGATTTCTCTTCAGAGAATGCTTTTGCATCTGCAGGTCTCATGCAGTAGTTCAGGTTGATCACTTAGTTTTTTATGGCATTTCCTTACTTGCTTATGTTTCCTGAATTTGTACTGAAGCTGTGAAGAAGAATCTGATGATGTATGCAGATATTCATTAGGGTCTTTTCTTTAGTACTGATTTTCTAGAGCAGTAAAACTTTCAAGGTGTAATTCACAATAAAACTTTAAGGTGTTTCAAAGGTGTAATTGACTTTTTTTTCCCCAAACATGTAACACTTAAGGAGTAGTTAGCACTTATTTAGAAATCACTGTGTTGCAGATGCTTGGTGTGAAGTCAGCACATGAACCATAGGTTTGCACTGGAAGCTGAAGGAGTAGTTATAATAAAACTTTGTCCAGTTTTAAACTTTTCCAGTGTCTTGATGCAAATTAACATTTTGTCATAAAGCCAGAGATACTATTCATGCAACATTAACAATTTTATGATTTGGGCAAAAAACCCCAGTGTTTTTATTACATTAAAAGCTTTTACTAACATACTGTGGGTGTTATGTTGGCTCAATAGAGTTGAATATATTTTTGGAGTGTAACAACCATTCATTTTTCCTTGGTGCTTTCGTAGATCTGCTTGGATTAAAGCCTGCTCCCAATAATGGCACCCATGGAAGTTTAAATCACCTGCTGAGAGCCAATGTTTATAAACCAACTGTGCCAGATGAAGTTGCTAAGCCACTGTATCCTGTAGCTCTACCTTCTGCATCAGATTTTGATATAGGATGTACCTGTGATGATAAGGTAGGTGTGTAGGATCTATGGAAGCCTCCACTATTATTGGTAGTTTTGGTAAAGTTGCAGCCATTTTATTTGTTTCGAGAGGGTTTGATCTGTAAGAATTGCCCAGGTTCCTCCTGTGAAGTCTTTGTGCCCCCTTGGAAAAATTATGGATTTTGTAAAAGAGGAGACAGGGAAATCCACACTGTCTTATAGTACTAGTTTTGTTTTGTTAGATGCTAGTAAAACAAGATCCAGTGGTCCTAATCTCATTCCTTTTTTTTCTGTCCTTGAGAAGAACAAGCTGGATGAACTCAACAAGCGCTTTCATGTCAAGGGAACAGAAGGTAAGAGCCTGGTGCCTCAGATAATGAAAGCTGATTTTATTTTCTTTTGTAAATTACTTTGCATCATTAATACCAGAGCAACTCGTGGTGTGGCTTAGTTAATGTGTAGTAAACTGTCTTTTTGTGTACCTGTCAAGGTAGCCCACAGACACACGTGAGATTCGTGGGCAAGGTGAAGTGCTGCTCACTTGAGAAAGTACACAGTACCTTTTGCTGAACCAGAACTAACCAGTTTTGTTCAAAGTAATTCGAATTTTAGCTCTTCCATTCCATCACCTCTAGAAGTTTTAAGCCCAGATGTGAAGGCAGAGACAAGAGGAAAGGATAGGGTGCATGAGGCAGTACTCTGTTCAGCTACAGGCTGTAAATGGGGAAGAAACCAGACTGCATTTGCAGGCTGGGTTTTACCATAGTTATCCAGGCTTAGGTTTCACCTAGAAAGGATGCTACAACTGCTTTAACAATCCCTGAGTGAGTCTTAATGTTTGGCTCTTGGGGTGCAGGTTACACAGTGAAACAATTGCTCTGCTAGTTCAGGCTGCTCAGTGCAATTCTGTTCCTCTCCCAGGAGAAAGCATTCCCAGCTCTCCTGGCCACTAGCTCCTGCTGTGTGCCAGCGCTGAATTCTGTGTGGCTGCACTCTCAGCTGCATCAGGGCCATGGTCCAGGTTTAAGTGGAGCAATAAGAACAGAGGAGAAGGGATGGGAGCTGCTTTCCTGAGCAGCACTACTGACTGAAAGGCTCACCAAAGCAGTTTTCCTTCTCACAATGGTCGTCGAGTTCAGCATAACAATTCACAGCATTTCCCTTATCATAACAATCGTCCAAATTAGCAAATTCTGAATCTTTCAGTTTAGGCATAGATTTTTTGAGGTGCCTCAAATTGTTCAGATGATTAAGGAGATTTAATTCACTTATGAAAGTATTTTCAGTTTCTCTGTTGTGAACAGGCAATGCAGCCTATCCTTTAGTTTCTAAAGGTGACCACAATACTCTTCTTTGTGAGTTAAATTGCCTTTCTGCAGCTTTCATCTTGTTATACTGATTTTCCCAATTAATGAAAAGCTACTCCTCACTGTGGCATTTTATGGCATCAGGAAAAAACACCCTCAGTGTTGTAGTTTGAATCTCAACATATTTATTTTGTTTTCTGGTTTTCATTCTTCTTCACTGCAGTAATATAAAAATAGTAATTTTGGTGTCTTTTAAGATGTAAGCATTTAAACGAGTTGCATTTGCTCATTTATCAGTTCTAAATGGCATGATCTGTCCTTATTTAAACAAGCAGTTCTGCTTCATGCGAGTTTTGTTTTCCTTCATGGTGCACTTTACAACATGGTGTGCCATGTTGGTATTCACAGGGAGAAGAAAAAGATGACTTCAGCTTCTCTTGAATAAGCAAGTTTATCATCTTTGTCCTTAGACTAGGCATTTCCTATTTTTTTTCCCTTGTGCCCTATAAAAACATCCTCTGTTTGTACCCGAGCACTAATAAAACATGCCCTTTTCTTTCAGGTTAAATGCCGGTCTGGGAACTGTGTTAGGCCACTTTCCTTGTTTCTGTGTTTTAATTTCCAAAAGCAAGCCAAGTGTGTTTGCCAAAAGGTTATCAAATTCAATGCACTATACGGGACAATGCAAGATTATCCAGGAAATTTATTTTTCTTCTATCCCTTTCAATGTTTTTGTCATTTTGTAAGCAAGCTTGTCAGAATTATCTAAGGACATTTAGCCATAACATATCACCAAGATAGAAGGGCTGTTTTTACAGAGCTGGAGGTGTCATTTTGTAGCCAAAGTCAGGAAAAGGTTTTTTTTATTAGTTTGTTTCTTTGATATTACGGACAAAAAATAGCACATCAATCTTCAGAACAAATCTGTATCAGCTAAGTGGGAAAAAACTACTCTTTGAGTGATCACTTTTGACTCCCTTCTGAGGCAGTCTTTACAGAAAACATAGGAAGGAGAGAAAGTCCACTGCAGAGTGGCAGGAATGATAGACTGGGGACTGATTTAAAGCTATGAAAAGAAAGTGCTTATCACCTCTTGTGTGACTGACACGTGGACACAAAGGTCGTTGAAGAGTCTGCCGTTTTTGGAAAAAACACCCTCTCTCCACCCTGTGACACAAACAAGCTTTCAAGTGTAGAAGGGACTTTTAATCCCTAAGGGTGTTTGTGAACCTGGAATGGGGATCACAGCCAGAACAGTTGAAGATTTCTTTTTCTCTCTCTGTCCAAGTATTTCCTTAGTAGTTATTCGGGGTCAGTATCCATTAATTATCACTGAAAAAATCAACATCTGATGGAAATCCAACCTCCCTTTTTTTTTTTCATCCTTAAGATTTTCAATAATAAATGTAAATGTAATGTTTCTTTTGATTTTTAGACAAGCATCTCTTATATGGACGCCCTGCGGTACTGTACCGCACAAAATACAATATCTTGCATCACCACGACTTTGAAAGTGGCTACAGTGAAACATTCCTGATGCCTCTATGGACATCCTACACTATTTCCAAACAGGTTAGTGTTCTCTCTGCTCTTGAAATGCATTTCAGAAGTCTTGGGAAAATTTCTTTGGTATCTGTGTTCTCGAAGTCCTAAAATTTCCCTTCCCCAGGGACTTTTTCTGGTGGGAAATCTTCCCATTAGAAATTATGTCAAAGTACCATTGTGAACCATGCCCAAAATCTTTCATTTCCTTCATGAGAGAACAATTTTAAGGGGAAGGGTTGTGTATTTCTTCTCCTGTTTTAATTTTATTTTTAAGTTTTTTTTTTCAATGGGGGTTTGTTTTATTATGAGAAATTTCGCTTGAATTTTCTCCCCTGGGGATTTCTGCTCCCTGAAGAAGGAGCTGTGCAGCAATGCAGGGGCAGGATTTGGTGGTACAGCCAAGTGGTTTATTTTGCTGCATGCAAGGCTTTCTGTGTAGTCTGTCAGCAGTATGACCTACTTTCCTTTTATCTGTAAAAGCTGAAAGTGCATTTTTTGTTGTGTCCATGTTCCTCAATGCAGGCAGAGGTATCAGGTGTCCCGGAGCACCTGGCCAGCTGTGTGCGGCCTGACCTCCGCATTTCTCCAGGAAACAGCCAGAGCTGTGCTGCCTACAGAGGCGACAAACAGCTCTCCTATGGATTCCTTTTTCCTCCTCGTAAGTTTAGATAGCTTTTTCTACCTAGGGATTTTGTGATTTTCTTGTTTTGTTAGGGAAAACCTTTGGTGTGAAATTACTTCAGGCAAACCCCATCAGATATAAACAGACTAATTTTGATTTCAAACACCAGTAAGGTAAACATATTTTTAATTTATAAATCCAAATCAGACTCTTGCATACTGTAAAAGTTTCTACCATCCTATAGAAATAGTGATAGTAGAAAACCTGTGTAAAACAAGCATCCTTAATTCTCCTGATGCACTTGCTTTGCTTCAGTATTGGATCTATGATCTTCTGAAATTAGTAAATGTTGAAGGGGCACAACTGACTTACAGTTTTGAACTTCATTGCTCTGTCTTCCTCACTCAGTGGCTGAAATATTTCATGGTGGATTTCTGAAATGGAATTACTGGTGCAGAGCTCACTCAGAACTAGAAGATAATCCCAAGAATTCTCTCCCAATAAATTGTTGGCGTCTTTTGTAAAAACCTGCAGAGGTCTCAGCTTTTTAAGACAGCAAAAATAGATGAGCTATATGAAAATATTTTGAACTGATTGAAGACGAAGAGATGATAAAATTCTTCCTTTCCATGTTCAGCTGTCACATTAAAGACAAATTTTGTGTGTGTAGTGTGATTGCTGCTTAGATTATGGTATTCCCTTTGGTTAATCTCTGAAGCCATTTTCAAAACATTTCTATATTCTCTGAAATTCTTATGTTTAATCTTAATTTTTTTTCTGTTTCCCTGTTTTCAGAATTAAGTTCCTCTGCAGAAGCAAAATACGATGCTTTCCTAATAACAAATATCATTCCAATGTATCCTGCCTTCAAAAGTAAGTGGTCTTTCCATGACTATGCTTCTCTTTACCAGCAAGTTCTTTTTTTTAACTTTTTTTTGTGATGGATTATGGAATGAATTGATAGGAGAAGTTTAGAACATTAAATTCAGTTACCTGTAGCTGGCAGCTAGTACCTGTGGGGAACCTGTATAGTGCTTGGTATGGGCAGGCAAAATAGCACAAGAAAGGTTTAAGTTTTAATAAAGGTTTATTTTCCTTGGTGCTGGGTTGATGTAAGGGCACAGCCATGCTGTAGGTCTGCAGTTGTGCTTTATGCCACAGTAATTCACTTTCTGTAAGGCCATTCAGATTCTCTTCTCTGTAGCCCAAGCTAGTGCAGAACATATGTCGTCAACAGCTGGAGCCTGAGAGTGTGCATGTGCCCTTGGTATTTTGTAGTTCGGGGACAAGTGATTATACTTTATTTTTCTACCCATGCCCTTAGAGGGAGACTGAACATATTTATTACCTATTAAAAAAGAAAAAATACAAGAAAACCAATTTATGGAAAATGAGGGATGATTTAAACCTGACTGAAACTTTCAGTGCTGCAGGGTTATATTACTAACATTTCTTTTGTCTGCACATCCCTTTTCTCTCTGGTCTTGCCAAGAGGTAGGAAAACCATCAGGCTGTTCTGGTGGCATTTTTGGCTTGGCAAGGATTGACAAGACTTGAAAGAATCTCAAGAGCCTGTTGTGAGATTTCCAATTCAGATTTTAGGCCAGAGAGGTTTGGATAAACATCAAAGCCTATGGGAGCCTTTTCCTTTTTAACCAGAAAAGAGTGTTTTTAACTGAAAAACCTCTGTGTAGGACCAAGTGGTGATGTTTGCTGGAAATTTGAGCAAAAGCACTTGACTGATTAAAGAGTGAAAAATTATTGGGGATTTCCCACTCCTGAATCACTTCATAAAAATGCTCTTAATGTTAATATTAATCAAAGTATTTGGCTGAAATGCTAATCACAAGAGAACAACCCACCTCTAGCAGCTCATTTTGTCTAGTGGCTGCCTTCATCACATGTGGGTGAAGGATTCCTTACAAAAAAATTCTGGTACTAATGTCATTCCTGGGGAATTACAAACCACTCCATGTGTACAGGTTGCAGTGCTGAGAGCCAAGTATAAGCTCATTATATGGATCTTTTTCCATGACGGGTAAAATAGGAGGTGGCAGTGCTATGCTGTGCTGGCTTTGGTGGCAATGCTGGCTGCAGAGGCCCCCTCCTCTGCTTTGTGTTTATAATTCACTGTCCCATCCCATCCTCACTGGCAGTAATTCTGTGTCCACTTTTTCTGTAGTGAGACTGGCTTAAGCAGCTCCTGCTTTGCTGGAGTTCCAAAAATTGTACCCCTGGGCTGGCCCCTCATTGCCCTGGTGTTGCTCTGTAGGTGGTTGCAGTGGGAAGTGGAGCTGCAATCTGATTTAGATACAAAACTCGAGGCAGTGGGACAGGAGGGTGTTTTTATTTTTTGGACTGTTTTTATTGATAAAGCACATGCAAAGTAGGAATGAGCAGCTGGAGGAGTGGGATTGCCAAGTGGTTAGGTTGAGGTTCTTGTTAAACCACTGCTGGTGGGACTCTGGGCATCAGCCCCAGCTGGGACTGCATGTGGCACTGAGCAGTGTTAGAACAAGGTGTTCAAGGGGGCTTTCTAAGGCTGTCGCTGCCACCAGCTGCAGGGAACCATGGACTTAATGGTCTGAGCTGGCAAGACAAGAGTTAAACCCTTACAAGTCTGAGAAGCCTTGTTTACTCACACCTCTGTTAGTTAAAAAGGAAAAGAAGAAAAGAATGATATCACTGGAGGTTCCAGTGTGTTTCCCATCTCTTCTAGAATCTTAACTTTTTGAGGAGGACATGGTGGGAGAAAGTCTACCATGATCTTCCTAAAGGTTGCTGCAATGACATGACTGTTGTCATCCTTGATGGCACCTAGTTTAAAAGTTAAACATTTTGTATCAAAGGAGAATTTAACTGAATGAATCTGTATTTCTCTTTATTTTAAAATGTTTGGGTTTAGCCTTTAATTACTGTACTGTATCCTTTTTAAGATTAATAAAAACCCCCTAAACAACAACCTCAGCAGAGTTCCCTGTAAGATAACAAAGACAAAGGCGGTGTTTAAAGAGATATCAAAAACCTGTGAATAGCTGTTTCTACAGCTTGATGAAGGAGCAGCAGAATCTCTGTGCAAGGCCTGTGGCAATGCTGTCTTGGGAGTAGTAGCATGTATTTCCTTTATCACTGGTTGGAGGAAAAAATCAACAGAGAACAAAGTCTGAATAGGCTTTATTGACCAAACTGAATGAAGCAGCAGTAACTCTGTCATGCTTAGTCTTTCATTTCCCCTACTGTCATATGAATAATATCCTCTGGATTTTTGTCTTGAGGAAGGAAAAAACTTTATTATCTTGACATGTTTTGACTTATCCAAATGTTGGTGTATTGTGGGGTTTTTGTTTGGTTGGGTATTTTCTGTTTGTTTTGGTTTTTTAGTTACTTATGGTTGATTGGTTGGTTTGGTTTTTTTTTTTTTGTTTTTTTTTTCCCCACAGAGGTATGGAACTATTTCCAAAGGGTTTTGGTGAAGAGATATGCCACTGAACGAAATGGAGTCAATGTTATAAGTGGACCAATCTTTGACTATGACTATGATGGTTTACATGACACACCTGACAAAATAAAACAGTAAGAGTTTGTCTTTAAATTGCTTTGCTGTTGCTTCTGTTAATGATGAATTTATCTTAAACAATTCATTACCTGAGCATTATTTAATTTTTTGTGAGGAGACATAATTTTCTAGCTCTTTCTAAAGTTATTGGGACTGAATGCCCATGTAGGTAGGACAGTGGTTAAAATAAGGAAATGACAATTCAGCAGTTAACTGTTCACCTTGGCTTTGAAATTGTTTTCATCCTCGGGACAAAGTTGAATTTGGTTCCACATAGTCTATTGTCCCTAAAGTTCTCCTTACTTATAGAGAATTTAAGCGGGAGGAGGAGCTTAAAAGCTGTGCTATTGAGTTACATGCTCAGGTCTTTTGTTAATTTAGTAATGCATTCTCTCTAGGTCTCTGACCTGAAGAAGCCTTTCAGCACTGCATGAGGTATTTCAGTAGCACAGTGTGAGCTAATTGGATGCTCACTTTCACTAGTGTTCAGGAATCAAACACATTTCAACAATGTATGTGCATCCTTACACGTAGGAGAGGAAAGACCATGTTGTTTGTGTAACTTTCTTCCAAACAAGTTCATCCCTTGTGGATAAATATTTGCTTTATTTCACCAGGTTTGTGGAAGGCAGTGCAATCCCTGTTCCAACGCATTACTATGCCATCATAACCAGCTGCTTAGATTTCACTCAGCCAGCTGACAAGTGTGATGGACCACTCTCTGTTCTCTCATACATCCTTCCCCACCGGCCTGACAACGATGAAAGCTGCAATGTAAGTTCAGTTGCACTGCTGCAGCCCTGTGGTAAACATGTCCCTGAGACACGTGAAAGCCCATTACAATTAGAAGCAAGCATTCACTAATGTGTTGAATGGGAAGCACAGGGTTGTGCCTCTGTTGAAGTGTCAGTAGCTCATTAGACAAAAGCAGTTCTCCATGACAGCAGCAAAAGTATGGAACTATTACTGCACCTAAAATTGTCTGGAAGAACTGACATACAGTAGGTTGGCAGTATTGTTTTTTTCCTGTAAGATTCTACATTTTGTCAGTGTAACTTCAGAGCAGACTGGAGGGAGACTGAATGTATAAACATACTGGGCTGGCACCCAGCCTGATGTTTTTATGGAGGTCAGTTTCCATTTGCAGATACAATGCAATCTGTCTGCTACAGCAGTCTGGGTGCATCAGTCAGCATGATTACATCCAACCCACACAGTATTGAAAGTATATGCTATAAACTGCCAAGGGTAGGGTGCCAATTCTTGCTGTTTCCAGAACACCTTGATTCAAGGGAAAAGTTTGGCTTCTTATTACACAGATGGCCAAATACCCTTCTGGTGTCTTTTCTATCTTCTATTAGGATGCAAGATCCTCTACTGTAGGAATCTTAATGATAAAAAGGAATCTTAATCAGACTTTGGTCTGGCCAGCACTGCAGAAAGTGCACACTTGGCAGCTGATTGTGTGGCAGGAGGGTGTTGGGTCCCCCGTGGGCTCTGGCACTCTGCAAGGACAGCAGAGCTCCCAGGCAGCTGTATTTAGACTTGTCCTTCCGCCTGAACTTGTTCTCCCATTATACAGCTGTGTGGATTCCTGCACACAGACACTTCACTATGGGCTGCCAGGAGACTGTTTCCTGAATGAACTCATTAATGTTATGAATTTTGTATTGGCAAAAAAGTTAAGACTCCTATTCCAGCTACAGGCAGAAATAGTCATTTCAACTCTGTACACAATTCACCTGGAACACTGTTTCTTTCTCACTCACCAAATAGCCGTTTCCTGAATGAATGCATTAATGTTATAAATTTGGCAAAAAAAGTTAAAGCTCCTGTTCCAGCTAGAAGCAGAAGTAGTTATTCCAACTCTATTGACCAGCACAATTGACCTTGAACACTGATTCTTTTTCATTCATCAAACATTGCTTGCTTTCAGGGCCCGTGCTTTTGGAGAAGTATCCCTCTCTCCTGAGCAGGTCTGGCCCTGTTTGGATCACAACTGTTTTGGGCAGAGACATCTTTCACCAGAAGTCTCCAGAACTCCTACATATATTGCATTGTGGCTTTTTCCTGGACCACTTTTCTGTGAACCAAAATCCAGTTAGTGATCTGGAAATTACTATTTTGGTAGTTATTAGTGTCTCTGTGCTGCAACTCTGCCCATATGTAATTTTATGATAAAGTAATTTATTTTTTCCTCCTTATATTGTGTGTCATAGTTCTCTTCAAAAGCTGCAATCTTTTTTATGAGCTATTTACAATAATGGTCTCTTTTAGTCTTTGATTTCTTATATTTCAAACCAGGCATTTGATTTCTTACATTTCAAACCACCTTTCTCTGTAAGTCATGCTACTTGTAAATACATATAGTGTATGTATTTACAGTTTGAGAGAATCTTCAGTGCTTCTGCAAGGTCATTAGCAGATATTGGTCCATGCCTTTTATATAGCAAAGAACCACTCCAAAATATTTAAATGTTGCTCTTGAGTGAAAATACAGTTAGGCAAATTTCTGCCATTGAAATCCATCATCAGCCTTGCTTTTGCACATGGTGTTCCATCTTATTTGTTCAAAGAAGTGATTGTGTAAAATCTCGCCATACTTCATGGATGAAATGCGTGGGATAATATAGGAATTTTACCTTTCCCTCTCCACCCTTTTAAGATTTGAAGAAATATTACTTTCCCTGTGCTCTGCTCTAGCTGTACACACATTCTCTTCACACAGCTGTTGAAGAACACCACCACTCTTCTCATCTGAATTTGTTCCTTTTCTAAACTGTGTTTATTCGTGGTGAGGTTATGCCCGTTTATTCTTATGTCAACATTTTTCTATGTCTTAAATAGCCCTTCTCTGGGATTTAACCTAGAGATGATTTATGATGAATCTCAAGGTAAATAACTTCTCTCTGTTCATGGAAGACCCAGGATCTTTTTTGCTCTTTTAAGAGAGGATGAGACTGTTGGTAGAATAGACTTCCTACGCATCTCATCCAGTCCAATCTTTTTTTTCACCTGGATCATGAATGATAAGTACTGCAGCTTGGATCTCAAAATGAAAATAGTTTTCTTTCCACTGGACACGACTCTGCTGATACTACCTATAATTTGCTTTTTCCATAGCTGTGTTATAATAGTGGCTCACATTCATGCACAGCTGGTACACTCAGGTCCTTCTCTTCTGCCTGTCAATTTGGATAACCCAATTCCATTCTGTCCTGAGAGCTCGTGCATCTGCACCCTCCACTGTGCTATTCCAGTCTTCCTCTGCACTGACAAGAAGTTCCCAGCTGTTGGGGGTTTTGCTGGCAACTAATGACCTTGGTACAAGAATCAAGAGTGAAAACATTACAAAAAATCCTTTCTAAGACCAAAGTTGAAAGAACCTTAGAAACTACCAGAAAATTCCTCCAGGCTACTGTTTTGTCTTTCAGCAAAACATTTAAATTTCTTTTCATAAGTCAGTTCCTTACCCACCTGTCTACATGCGTCATGTTCAGCTTTCCAATTGATATTCAGAGAGATTCTTGTGCAGAATGTCTGGTATTTTTTCCACTGGACTTTGTGTTAGCCTCCTAATTGATCACCTCTTCCTATTTATCTCCATGTTTTTAATTATTACTTTTTCCTTCTAAAACTCTCCTTATTTTTGTGGTGAGACTAAGCACTAAAGCTGGAGAAAACTGTTATTTTAAATGTATACACTTCATTCATTGTTATGTGGTAATATAACAATGTTCAACTTGTGATCAACTATGTTAGTTGATCACTATACTTAAAATCCTTGTTGCTGGGCATGAGGTTTCATGGGCAGGTTGTGGATTGGAAAAAATGAAACAGATCAGTTGGTTGATTTTCTGGAGTCATGCAAGTGCTGTCTTGCTGATCTACGTTAAGCAAGCCTCCCCATCCTGTTATTTATTCATTTTGCAGATCTTTTGCAAACTGCTTGTATTCAAGAAAAGTGAGCTTTGCAGCTCGCTCATAACTTTCTTTTGAGCTCTGCAGATTTCCTGCTCAGAAGAAAGGCTTGAAGAAAGCAGAAATGTCACGGTGGCTGCATTTGCACTGGCAGCCCTGCTGAGGCCTGTTTGCAGACTCCTGGTTGCCAGGCTGGAGGCTGAGCAGGAGCTTCCTGTGGCTGCAGGCTGCCAGGTGGCATCCCCAGAGCATGGCACTGCAGGCAAAAGGGAGTGAGCGGGACACATTCCCTCCTCTTCCCTCTTAATTTGCATCTCTCCTTTCTTGTTCCAGACCTGGCTTTGGTCCTCAGGCTGTTAGTGGTAGGACAGGAAAGCTGGTTTGGGGCTGAGGGCTTTGAACCAAACAGGTTCTGACTAGGTCACGGACGTTTGCTTTAGAGCAGCCAGCTGTGATCTGTCTGGGACTTTGTGTCCTCTCTGCAAAAACGATCACCTCACCCCCTGCCTTTTGTCGCTGACCCACTTCCTGGTCTGTGGCTCAACTACTGCCCTGGATAGGTTCTGGCATTGCTGGAGTTTAGTCTTGATCCATGAGAGGATCATTTGGTAGGGGGACATTGCTGAGCCAGTCAGGAAAAGGGTTCATTTCCAGGAATAGTCACACACATTAAGTCTAAATACCCAAGATACAGCCCACCGTTCCTTTCTTCCCCAGCAGTGGTGTACAGGTACCAGCCAGAGAGGCCAAAGGGGGAAAAGTCCTGTTTGCTTTGTCCTTTTCCCATGTCTGGGCCCTGTTGTGCCGTCCCCAGGCCTGGGTGCAATGCTCGTGGCCCATGCTGTTTAAGGCACACAAACAGCCAGTCACTGCAGTGTTTTGCAGGGCTGATTTTCTCATGTGTTGCCTTAGTTTGTGGATGACTCCAACATGTGCTGGTGCTGGCACAAGGCATAAGGCAGCAGCTATCCCCTAAGAGAACACAACCTGACCCCAAACACTCTGGCAGCATGACCTTCCTGATTTTTTTTTTCTTTGTATCAGGAAATGCTTGGTGAAATTCTTTTATCTAACAGTGAATAATATGTATGTTCCAATCACAAGAGTTTTTAGGTACCTACATAAACCATTGTCTCACCTGTGTAATGAATTGTAAAGGTCCCCTAAAAGTAAAATGGAAATATTAAAATATTATTGTGTTAGGTGATGTGATTGTCAATTGAGAACAATATGTAGGCATAGAATTCAAAGTCAAACAGCCTACAGTTTGGTCTTTGGTAAATCAAAAGTGATTAATATGGAGTTCCTTCTGTGAGATAGAAAAACATGGAATGACCAGTGGATCTTCTAAAAACCTATAGCTGTTCTTCTTAAACACCTGTAGCTTGAGGCTAGCTTTTTCCGGATGATTATGGTCTTTGTGTCAACCCCATCACAAAATGGGTACTGAAATAAAACTGCAGGATTCATCTTAGATGTTAAATGTCAAATTTATTTTCTTGGAATTCATTTACCTTATTCATTCTTGAATAAGGCACAGAGATTCTTCAAATCTGGAACAAATGTGTAGACAAGTTGCATTTGCTTTTGGAGATGATTTTTGACAGGACCTGTGATAATTTTTTTTTTTTTTTCCCCCAGAGCTCAGAGGATGAGTCAAAGTGGGTTGAAGATCTCCTTAAGATGCACACTGCGCGTGTCCGTGACATCGAACAGCTCACCAGCTTGGACTTCTTCCGAAAGACCAGTCGCAGCTACACAGAAATCCTCTCCCTAAAGACATACCTGCATACGTTTGAAAGTGAAATTTAGCTTTCTAACCTTACTCAGTGCATCCTTTTATCAACTGGTGTATATTTTTATATTGTTTTTATATTTATTAATTTGAAGCCAGGACATTAAAAATATTAGTATTTTAATCCTGTATCAAATCTTAAACTTTAAACCTTTGTGTCATTTGTTTTGTTTCTCTAATGTTTAATATAGGTAGGTCTCTTGGTTGATTTAGTAGTGCTTGTAATACTGCATTTTGAGTCCTTACTCTGAGCTTTTAAGTGGTGCTGCAAGGTTTGATGCGTGCATCAAGGAAATATTAATTTCTCATGTTCCTTTACCACACTTGTAGTCCTGTACTGTGTATCAAAATACTGAACATGTAAAATTACACTCATTTACTGATAACTGTGTGACAGAGATATTTAAACACTATAGGCAAATAGCATCTTAAATATAATAAACCACACATTCAGTTTTTTTAATGTGTTTTGATTTCCTTTCACAGGGATGTTCAGAGGGGCTTGAGGGCAGCTGAGTGCTGACAGATCTCTTACTGGGTAGAGCCCTTCTCAAGAGCTTAGGCTTGCTGGTAAGAGGAGTGCCAGGGGCCCAGGTGCCCTGCCCTGGTACTCAGCAATGAGACCAAAAAATAGTCACCCACAGCAGTCATTGCTGGTTAGGTTTTGCTCTAGGTGGAGAGCTGGAATGGGAGGATGCTTGCTGTCATGAGCTAGCAGGGGTACCCCATGCCTGATGCCACTTGGCCCTGCTCCAGAACTGTGGAAAGGATTTTTTATAGAAGACATATGTTATATGGAGCATTAGTGTTAGTGTACCTAGATGATGTAAAAGAGAAATTATTGTTCAGAATGCCTTTGAGGCTGAACCCACTAATGATATTATTGTAAAGCCTTCATTTGGGCTTACACATTTCCCTCTCTCTATGAGTTGTGTCTGTTTTCTCCTTGAGGATTGCAGCTGCTGAAGGGAAGAGGAAAGGGCTGGAAAGCATCTCAGCCATGTACACAGATGAGTACCCAGGGTCTCCTGAGTAAAATTAATCTAGCACAACAGCAACTTGCATCCCAGTAGCATCCATCTAAGAGAAAGTAGTAAACTTGAATTAATCATGTTAACATAGATAATAAAGTCCTTGTAACCAGACAAAAATTTATTATTCTGTCTGCCTAATTCTGTTTAATTCAGTAAAGTGCAAAACTTGAATACTTTATAATGCCTCCAAAATATTAGGATGGAAATTCTAATAACGGCACAAAGCTACAGGAAACATCCTATTCTTGCATCTTAAAAATTGTCTCTTGTGGTTGTCTGGTAGCACAGAAATATTTTCCTGTAAGCTTTCAGCAGGGCTTCTTGCCATGATAAACTTTATGTTCTTACATGTACTACAAAGGGTATTTCCTTTGGATTTAAAAGAACTTTCTCTTAAGACCTAATTCCTTCAACATGAACTTTAGTGATGATTTAATGTGGTGGTTCATAAACTAAACTAAAGACCACCACTGCTGTTTTGCTTTGACATTAATCTGTTGCTCTCTTTGGGTTTTTAATCAAATTGAACAAATTATGTAATTATTTTATTTTCTTCCAAAATAACATTAAATTTATACCAAAGGAACATTTAAACTCTGAAAAATAATATTGTGTTCAGAGAAGTTTGCTTCTGAAATGTAATTACTGATTGAAAATGGCTGGGAGAGATAATTTAACTCTTGGTTTCACTACACAGTGGTGATTAGTGTATAGGGAAACATCAATTTTTTGACTGAGTTTCTTACTGTGACAGTAAATACTAGTAATTTACTTCTGTCCTACCTACTTCTCTTCAGCCTTTGGTTCCATGTTCTTGCATGGTGTTGCTGTTTTATTTTACTCCATTACCAGAAATAACTGTGCTGAGAAATATTTGTGGTGACTTCTGTGCATGGCATGGGTTCTTTTCCCTTTGAAAGATGCCTTATCAACACAAAAGCTAAAGGCTTGTAAATCCCTCTGAGCTACATGAGCTCTGCAGGAACAACAGGTATTTTAAAGGAAACTTGTAATGTACTTGTAAATACTACTCTGGTAGTCTTCAGGGTTAATGTTAGCTTAGGCCAGAGGGAAGGAAGTCTTCTGCCTTCCAGTCCTGTTAGACCATTTTGAAAAGATTAAATACCACTTGTTTCTGTTACATGTTGCCTTTTCTTGATATTTCTCTGGCTTCAGCAAGAGGTACATTGAGGAGAACAAGCGCTGAATTTTTCTGTCGAGCAAACACTGTTTTTGAGGATTTGGGTAATTACTGTTTGCACTTGGTGATGTAAATTTGAGGCATGTTCAGTGGATTAGAGGCAGTTCAGTTGAGCAACTGCCACAATGACAAAAGCCATGGTGTCCTGCGCACCTGGCAAAGTCCTTTTGCTCTGGGAAAAATCCTTCAGATGTAGTTATGCAACTAGAATAACCCTGCTACAGGAAACTGTTACTTTTTTTAACCCCTTTTCCACAGTCACATATCCTTAACAGATAAGCACTGAAAGCAGGTCAAGTAACCTGACCAACATCAATGGTCATGATGGTGAATTTATAGCAAAAGTCCCCATCCTGTTCTGACAGTAACAGTGTACTTAATGACTTATGGTTATGTTCTGTCCTGGTCAGCTAAGAGCTTGGTTAGAGACTTTCTACTTGCTGTTTCCCTCTTCTCTGTGTCCAGCCTTTAGCCTCTTTATGGAGTTAGGTACAATATTCAACAGTTTCTGCACTTTTTTGAATGTTGGTTCTGGTTTGGTAACAGCAGATCAGTTTGTGTTGTGTTATAAAGCAATTTCATCTCTAGATGAACTAGAAAATGAAAATATTTAATTGCCAGGTCTGTGCCATCTTGTGAAGGTTTCTCCAGAATTCACACAGATTTAGTGTAATAACCATGTGTAATTAGGCCAATCTTGCTGTGTCCCTGGAGGCTGCTCCATAGCAGTCCTGCCATGATCCCTTATCTCTCAGTGCTTTACATGCAAACAGTTGGTCTGCTGAACGTGTGAAGATTTTTAGACTTTACAAATGAAAATACACACGCATGGCAGGTTTATGAAGTCCCTGTTTCCCTTGCATTTGGTTTCTTCCTATACATCAGTCTGTCAGGTACAACAGGTGAAATAGCTCTCTAATTCCTGCACACAGCCAGAAAGCAAAAACCTTGTCAGGAAAGCTGAAGGGGGTTCCCTCTGAAGATGTTGCTAGCTGCAGGAGACAGCAGGAACTTGGGCAGTGTCCATCTTGGACAGTGAAGACAGAGTGCAGGACCTGACTGAAACAAAAAAGATTTGTAGTGGCAGGAACTGATGTTGCAGCAATCCTTCCCTTCAGTCTCACATCCCCATCAAACATCTTTAACTACCTCTAAGTTTGTATGACACTTCTGTGCAGATTACCTTGGCTCCTTTCTGCAGGAGACAGAGATACTGCTTGCAGTGCAATTGAGAAAATTCCCTCTACACAATTTTTTTTAGAAAACATGCAAGCCCCTACCAACAGAGGGGCAAATTAACTTGTTCTGCCTTGTGACAGAGGGATACAATTGGGCTCTCCCAGAGCAGGGGAGGGTGTGGGTGTTACAGAGCTGCACTTCCTCTCTGCTCCAGTATGGTGCTCTTCCAAAGAGTTTGGCACTTAGGGGCAGCCGGGTTTATGCTGCTGGTTTGGCACAGAGAGACAAATCAAACTTCACAACACATCTGGGAGGCTGCTGTTACCACAAGCATGGATGAAACTGGAGAGGCTGGATATTCTGTTTAAGGGCATGGCCTGTAAAGCTGGTCGTGGCGCTCCTATGCCAGGCTTAGTATGTGACATTTTGAAATAATTTCTGGTAGTGCTATCACTGACAGGAGAGCACAAGGTAAGTTCTGTAAAGCAAAACTTCAGAATCATGTGGCTGAAATAAAATTGGAATAGAGGGCAAGAGAAGCAAAACTCTCTTTGAGGGCAGTAAATAATGCCAAAATGGTTTTTTATCAATCCCATGCATGAAAATGCTTTTGGAGGCCTGGCTCCTTACCAGAGTCCTTCTGTATCCCAGAGAGATGCCACAGCACTTGTCTGTCCATCCTGTATGTGGTCCTAGTCAAGGCTGGTTTTTGACTAGTTTCAATTTCCCTTACTGCAGTCTCAGACCACTGTTGCACTTGACCTAAGACACATGGTATAGTCATGAAAATATAAGTATAACCTGACCAGGATAGACCTGCCAGTAAATGATTAATACCATGTTAACTGTACGTCTTCCAAATGAGGGAAATGCATTTGAAATGTTTAAAGTTCAGCCCTTGTTCAAGAGAGGAGAAAAAAGGTTTTTTTAAACATTGTGGAAAAATACCTAATCTCGTTTCTTTGCACTTGTTGTGTAAATACAAGATAAGAGCAGTATTCCCAAGGTTACTGCAAACAGCCTGTCACTACAGAGTACAAACTAACATTTACTAAAATGTGTGTTGTCATAAAAAGCAGCATTGCTTTAACAGTCAGCTGCAGTAAAAAATCCCACAGGTTTCTTTCCCTTTACAAAAGTTTGAGACGTAACTTATCCAGACCTGCCCTCACAAAGGAAAATCCCTGCCCTGCTTACAGCATCCATGGTATGTGTGCAGTTGTTGTGGAGCCTTACCTTACTGCCTTACCTCACCTGGCGTTTTCTAAACACAGTAGGGAAAGGCAGAGGGAGGTCACCCAGGTTTCATCTGCAGGTTTCGCCATGGAGACATCATCAAGTTAATAACTGTGGATTAACACAGCTGTAACTGATTGACCCTAAAACTGGAATTTACTAGAAAAGAGGTGGGATTATTTGACATCATAAGCCATCAACAGAAAAGGATTAAATCCTTTTCAGAAGATATTTTCATCTTTTTTTTTTTTTCCTGGCTGTGTGCAGCAAGTAGGGAATTATTTATTCTTTTCTACAGGGAGGACTGATATATCAGAAGAGGCTGGATGAAGAGGGAACAGGAACTTTGCACACCCCCCAGATAAATCTCCAGCTCCAGTCCCTTTCTGGCAGCATCTCCTGGACCTTCAACCTGTTCAACCTATTCTGTCTCCTGAAATGGGAAACTTCTCTTATCTTCTTACACAGCAATTTTTTTTTCTGCTGACCTCCCTGTTTTATTTCAGCTTTGATCTGTTAATCATCTGCAAATAGCTTTAGTGTTAGCCTACCAGCTCTTAGCTCTGTCAAGTCTTACACACTTAATCTGAAGAGGATGTGGAAGATCCTGATATATCCCCATTTTCTTTTCCAGTGCAGTTAAAACGCAGGGCCAGTTTGCAGATAAAAAGCCTCCTCAGAGTATTTAATCTGGTGGCCTTTACCCAGGTACATGTCTTTGTCTAAAGAATTTAATGTCCCTGAAGGTAGAATGCCAAAGTTCTGATGAATCAACCAGAACTTCTCCACACATGCCATGACCAGCTAG